TTAGCTTAAGTTTATTCATATCTTAAGCATTATGGTTACATTATAAAATGTATTAGCTAACAAACTCTACGGAGTTTTTGCTATTATATATTTAGCTTAAGTTTATTCATATCTTAAGCATTATGGTTACATTATAAAATGTTTTAGCTAACAAACTCTACGGAGTTGTTTTGCCTATTTAGGTAGCTCAAGTTAATTATATCTTAAGCACAGTACTATACTCATATCATAAAGTATATTAGCTAATAAACTCTAGAGGAGTCTTTGCTGTTATACAGTACTGTGATTCTATATCATACTATATATATGCCTACAACTCTTAGAGTTCTACTATTATATATATGTTCAGCTTAAGTTTCAATCCTTAGAAGCTCAGTCATGTATGTTCAGTTCATGACATGTATTAGTTAACAAACTCTCAGTAATTGGTTACTATTATACAGCTTAAGTTATAGTTATATCTTAAGCACAGTTATATTATAGCTTATATATATGCCATTGTGTAAGCAATACTTTGGTTCATTATAAAAGTATTCACTATAAACTATCAAGAGTTTATACTATCACATTAATGGCTTCAGCTTACTTAATGTTATATATTCTTTTATTATATTCAGTAAATTGTAATAACCCTTATATGGCAGCTGATAAGTTAACAGCAGGAATTCTTCAGTTCAGTGCCTTTTATGAAGTTCCCATAGGGTTATTGCAATCATCTCAGTTCAAATCACTAATTAGTAAAATCCAAAGTATATATAATCCCCACCTCCTTATCAGTGGGATTCTACAAGCAATAAGCATGAGTCAGGATAAGGAAAAATATGTAAATTTTTAGAGTAAAATTAATATTTTATACTTATCTGACTCATGAGGGTAAGCCCTCCCATCCTCCCACATAACACTTTGAGGATTTCCTGGAAATTCAGGTGTTGGACTCAGTATATGAGGGAGAGAGTGAGGCACATGGGTTCAGGTGAAGCCCTCGTTCAGCTTGTGGAAGGGAGGTAGCTTCGTGGTCAGTACTAATGAGTGATTTTTATTGAAGGAACTTCAATTGGGAGATACAAGTGTTCCACTAGGTTCGCAGAAGAGAGACAAGCTAAATAAGCATGGAGTCAGGATAAGTATAAAATATTAATTTTACTTCTAAAATTTCATGTTTGATCGAGTATAATTTTGCTTATGATCTCGCGAAAGTGCTAAATGTGAGTTATTTACTTTTCAGTCACTTCTCACCTGGCCAGAGTATCGGACTCTCCTGTCCTTCATCTTGACAGAGAGGTCAGAGGTCAAGAGCATTGATGAGGAAGAGGTCAAGGATAAATTAAAGGGAGGAGGAGGACAAGTTGAAAGAAGGAAGATATTGCCTTTGAGCAGCAGCAGGGTGGTCGTGGTGGTGACTGATGCACTGACCTCTACCAAGGTCCTGGAGGTCAGCAGGGTGGTCTGTGGTGGTGATTGATGCACCAGCCTCTACCAGATCCTTTTGAGGGGTCGCAGCAGGGTGGTCTGTGGTGGTGATTGATGTACCAGCTCTACCAAGGTCAGGAGGAGTCCAGCAGGGTGGTCTGTGGTGAGGCAGTTGATGCACAGCCTCACCACCAAAGGTGCGGAGGAGTCAGCAGGAGTGAGTCTGTGGTGGTATTTGATGTACCAGCCTCTACCAAGGTCCCAGGTCAGCAGGGTGGTCCAGTGGTAGTGATTGATGTACCCAGCCTCTACCAAGGTCGAGGAGGTCAGCAGAGGTGGTCTGTGAGTGGTGATTGATGTGTACCAGCCTTTACCAAGATCCTGGAGGTCCAGCAGGGGTGGTCAGTGGTGGTGATTGATGCACCAGCCTCCCAGCTCTCTCATCCATACTTGGACCGCATGATAACGATGGATCTATCACTATGCCCAGTTATTACACTGAAAATATATCTCCAACGATCCAAATAGAGGCAGGGGATATTCAAGAGATTATTTATCCCTATATCTACAGCTCATGAGGCGGAAGTCTTACGTGCTACTATCTCTATCTGGATCAGAACTGTCATACTCACGTGCCTACAAGGCTGTTGGATGCTGACCCTCCAAGAGCTTCTAATCCTCACTTAAATTAGAAGCTAGCCTCAACTCTAAAGCTCTACATGGAATTGTTAGTTGAATACCATAATGGAGGGATGTTTCTGGAGATCCGATATGGTGTTTGCCAACCACTATCTGAGAGATATCACCACCAAGGAAGTCTCAGGTATCCACCGTTTGGGGTCCCATGGTCCTCAAGCTCAACAGTTGACAGTTCCACGGAGAAGATAAGTCTATCTTACAGATTTTATACTTATCGGATGACAGTACTAATAGATACATGCTATCTATATATTTTGCTTAAGTTTAATTTATTATCTTAAGCTCAGTACTATGGTGTTTATATCATACTACATATAAGCTAACAACTCTACGGAGTTTGTTATTATATATTTAGCTTAAGTTAATCATATCTTAAGCTCAATTCTATGGTTACATTATAATGTATTAGCTAACAAACTCTACAGAGTTTTTGCTATTATATATGTAGCTTAAGTTTATTCATATCTTAAGCTCAGTACTACGTTTATATCATATAAGTATATTAGCTAACAAACTCTCAAGAGTTTTTGCTATTATATATTTTGCTTAAGTTTCATCATATCTTAAGCATTATGGTTTACATTATAACATGTATTAGCTAACAAACTCACGGAGTTTTTGTATTATATATATTTAGCTTAAGTTTCATCATATCTTAAGCATTAGTTTTACATTAACATGTATTAGCTTCACGGAGTTTTGGCTATTATATATGTAGCTTAAGTTAATTCATATCTTAAGCTCAGTTACTACGTTTATATCATATAAGTATATTAGCTAACAAACTCTAAAGAGTTTTTGCTATTATATATTTAGCTTAAGTTTATTCATATCTTAAGCATTATGGTTACATTATAAAATGTATTAGCTAACAAACTTTACGGAGTGTTTTGCTATTATATATGTAGCTTAAGTTTCATCATATCTTAAGCATTATGGGTACATTATAAAATGTATTAGCTAACAAACTCTCTGGAGTTTTGGCTATTATATATGTAGCTTAAGTTAATTCATATCTTAAGCTCAGTACTATGTTTATATCATAAGTATATTAGCTAACAAACTCTAAAGAGTTTTTGCTATTATATATTTAGCTTAAGTTTATTCATATCTTAAGCATTATGGTTACATTATAAAATGTTTTTAGCTAACAAACTCTGAGGAGTTTTGCTATTATATATGTAGCTTAAGTTTATTCATATCTTAAGCTCAGTACTATATTATATCATATAAGTATCTTAGCTAACAAACTCTAAAGAGTTTTTTGCTATTATATATTTAGCTTAAGTTTCATCATATCTTAAGCATTATGGTTACATTATAAAATGTATTAGCTAACAAACTCTCTGGACAGAGTTTTGCTATTATATATGTAGCTTAAGTTAATTCATATCTTAAGCTCAGTACTATGTTTATATCATCATAAGTATATTAGCTAACAAACTCTAAAGAGTTTTTTGCTATTATATATTTAGCTTAAGTTTATTCATATCTTAAGCATTATGGTTACATTATAAAATGTATTAGCTAACAAACTCTACGGAGTTTTTGCTATTATATATGTAGCTTAAGTTAATTCATATCTTAAGCTCAGTACTATGTTTATATCATATAAGTATATTAGCTAACAAACTCTAAAGAGTTTTTTGCTATTATATATTTAGCTTAAGTTTATTCATATCTTAAGCATTATGGTTACATTATAAAATGTATTAGCTAACAAACTCTATCTTAAGGAGTACTATATTTTGCTATAATATATATTTAGCTTAAGTTTATTCATATCTTAAGCATTATGGTTACATTATAAAATGTTTTAGCTAACAAACTCTAGGAGTTGTTTGGCTATTTAGGTAGCTCAAGTTAATTATATCTTAAGCACAGTACTATACTCATATCATAAAGTATATTAGCTAATAAACTCTAGGGAGTCTTTTGCTGTTATACAGTACTGTGATTCTATATCATACTATATATATGCCTACAACTCTTAGGAGTTCTACTATTATATATATGTTCAGCTTAAGTTTCAATCCTTAAGCTCAGTCATATGTTCAGTTCATGACATGTATTAGTTAACAAACTCTCAGTAATTGGTTACTATTATACAGCTTAAGTTATAGTTATATCTTAAGCACAGTTATATTATAGCTTATATATATGCATATTGTAAGCTTAATACTTTGGTTCATTATAAAAGTATTCACTATAAACTATCAAGAGTTTATACTATCACATTAATGGCTTCAGCTTACTTAATGTTATATATTCTTTTATTATATTCAGTAAATTGTAATAACCCTTATATGGCAGCTGATAAGTTAACAGCAGGAATTCTTCAGTTCAGTGCCTTTATGAAGTTCCCATAGGGTTATTGCAATCATCTCAGTTCAAATCACTAATTAGTAAAATCCAAAGTATATATAATCCCACCTCCTTATCCAGTAGGATTCTACAAACAATAAGCATGAGTCAGGATAAGGAAAAATATGAAATTTTTAGAGTAAAATTAATATTTTATACTTATCCTGACTCATGAGGTAAGCCCTCCCATCCTCCCCACATAACACTTTGGATTTCCCTGGAAATTCAGGTGTTGGGCTCAGTATATGAGGAGAGAGTGAGGCACATGGGTTCAGGTGGCGCCCTCGTTCCCGCGCTTGTGGAAGGGAGGTAACTCGTGGTCAGTACTAATGAGTGATTTTTTATTGAAGGGAACTTCAATTGGGAGATACAAGTGTTCCACTAGGTTCGCCAGAAGAAGAAGACAAGCAATAAGCATGAGTCAGGATAAGTATAAAATATTAATTTTACTCTAAAAATTTCATGTTTGATCGATATAATTTGCTTATGATCTGCGAAAGTGCTAAATGTGAGTTATTTACTTTCAGTCACTTCTCACCTGGCCAGAGTATCCGGACTCTCCCCTGTCCTTCATCTTGACAGAGAGGTCAGAGGTCGACATTGATGAGGAAGAGGTCAAGGATAAATTAAAAGAGGAGGAGGACAAGTTGAAAGAGGAAGATATTGCCTTTGAAGGCAGCAGGGTGGTCCGTGGTGGTGACTGATGCACTGACCTCTACCAAGGTCCTGGAGGTCAGCAGGGTGGTCTGTGGTGGTGATTGATGCACCAGCCTCTACCAAGGTCCTTGAGGTCAGCAGGGTGGTCTGTGGTGGTGATTGATGTACCAGCCTCTACCAAGGTCCCGGAGGTCAGCAGGGTGGTCTGTGGTGGTGATTGATGCACAGCCTCTACCAAGGTGCCGGAGGTCAGCAGGGTGGTCTGTGGTGGTATTTGATGTACCAGCCTCTACCAAGGTCCCGGAGGTCAGCAGGGTGGTCAGTGGTGGTGATTGATGTACCAGCCTCTACCAAGGTCCCGGAGGTCAGCAGGGTGGTCTGTGGTGGTGATTGATGTACCAGCCTTTACCAAGATCCTGGAGGTCAGCAGGGTGGTCAGTGGTGGTGATTGATGCACCAGCCTCTACCAAGATCCTGGAGGTCAGCAGGGTGGTCCATGGTGGTGACTGATGCACCAGCCTTGACCCGAGGTCAGCAGGGTGGTCTGTGGTGGTGATTGATGCACAGCCTCTACCAAGGTCCCGGAGGTCAGCAGGGTGGTCTGTGGTGGTGATTGATGTACCAGCCTCTACCAAGGTCCCGGAGGTCAGCAGGGTGGTCAGTGGTGGTGATTGATGTACCAGCCTCTACCAAGGTCCCGGAGGTCAGCAGGGTGGTCTGTGGTGGTGATTGATGTACCAGCCTTTACCAAGATCCTGGAGGTCAGCAGGGTGGTCTGTGGTGGTGATTGATGCACCAACCTCTACCAAGATCCTGGAGGTCAGCAGGGTGGTCCATGGTGGTGACCGATGCACCAGCCTTGAACATCTGCATGGTGGTCTGTGGTGTTAGAAAATCTTCGTGGTGTCTGTGGTGGTTACCTATGTGTCTCACAGTAGTCTATTTCTGATGTTTATGTTGTGAAAATGAAAGTAATATTTCTCATCATATTTTGTATAGGAGTGAATATTTTGATGAGAAGATGATTTCTATTTCTCAACTGCTGAACACGTATGTGATTATCTCCCTTTGATCAGTTGAATCTCATAATCTCTTGAGTGGTCAAAGAATTTCAGCTTATACCAAATATTTATCTTTCATGACAATACAACCGGGACACCCCTGTCCAAGTGTTGACCTGCTGCCCCACTGCAAATGTATCACATGTAGGTCATTCAGAAGTCTGCTGCTGACATCAACTCAATGTGTCTCATGCACCTATTGTAAATGCCTGTTTGAACTCGATGTACCGCATATATTGAGTACATTGTAATTATTTACTGAACAATATCATACCAACTGATGATGAAGTGAATCCTGGAGCTTAGATGTGAAACACTTTGGTCCTGTGAAAAAGTGTCGGTCCCTCTAGCGAGTTTGGTTTTACACCACTTTTAACAATAGTCCATAGGGATGCCACGATACATCGATACATTGATGCTTCTTCTAAGACTTACAATTATCGATACATTCAAAACTGTATCAATATTTAGTTTTGAAAGTATTGGTTTAAATATGTTTATTATATCATTTACATTTTGCAATTGTATCATGTTTTTTTTATGTTATGAGTGTTATAAATGATTATTTTTCATGCACAAAGATAGGAAATTAGAACTTTTTAATCTCTTAGAATAAAAAATGTCGATCTTTTCATGGAAAATGATGAAATATGAAATATTAATGTTCAAAATGTAACTAAGTTTATGTGATAATGCCGCGAAAATAGGTATCGTGAGACGTATCGAATCATGACATGGGTATTGTGATACGTATCGATTCATGAAACTAATGTATCGTGACATCCCTAATAGTCCAACAATGTTACGGCGGGGACACCAGAAATGGTCTTCACACGTACCCATGTGGGGAATCGAATGCAGGTCTTTGCGTGATGAGTGAACGCTTTAGCCACTGCCCCGTCCCTCATGTTCAGAGCCATCTAAACATACTGCTGCTCAGTAATCACTGCGGACACACTGATATGGTAGTGTTCCTGGGTCAGCTTACATTCACATTTTCACTAGAGTGTATTTTGCCACTGGAGGGGTCTGCATCGCTGGACATAACAGGTTGGTTTAGATGTGAATTGTGTATTGAATAAAATATTGGGTTTTTTTATATCCAATGTTATTTTTGTTTGTAAGATGTTGATGCTTATTTGTGATTTTCTTTCCTGGTAACATGTTTCCTCCTGATTAAGGGGGGAAGTACATATATTCAATGTGCACATCCTCACTAGACATGATGATGGTCAGAGGCAACATCTTGTGAGGATTTTACTGAGGCTGTCTCATCTAGCAGTAGATATACAACATGCCAGTAAAGATTTTACTGAGGCTGTCTCATCTAGCAGTAGATATACAACATGCCAGTAAAGATTTTACTGAAGTTGTCTCATCTAGCAGTAGATATACAACATGCCAGTAAAGATTTTACTGAAGTTGTCTCATCTAGCAGTAGATATACAACATGCCAGTAAAGATTTTACTGAAGTTGTCTCATCTAGCAGTAGATATACAACATGCCAGTAAAGATTTTACTGAAGTTGTCTCATCTAGCAGTAGATATACAACATGCCAGTAAAGATTTTACTGAAGTTGTCTCATCTAGCAGTAGATATACAACATGCCAGTAAAGATTTTACTGAAGTTGTCTCATCTAGCAGTAGATATACAACATGCCAGTAAAGATTTTACTGAGGCTGTCTCATCTAGCAGTAGATATACAACATGCCAGTAAAGATTTTACTGAAGTTGTCTCATCTAGCAGTAGATATACAACATGCCAGTAAAGATTTTACTGAAGTTGTCTCATCTAGCAGTAGATATACAACATGCCAGTAAAGATTTTACTGAAGTTGTCTCATCTAGCAGTAGATATACAACACCTCAGTAAAGATTTTACTGAAGTTGTGTTTGAAGGCACCATTTGGCTGCTATTGGGACAGCAGCATGGAGTAAGGTCTTATGGCAGTGTCAGATTGTTGCACAGGCAACTGAAGAAGCAGAAAAAAAATTGGTTATATTATTGTCACATATTGTGTATAACATTACAGTACCTCACTAAAATGTGGAATATTAAAGTACTGTCGAAAGTAGAAAAAAAACTGTATTTTCTCATTTATCTCTACAATTTATGTAGTTCATATGGGCAAGTGTGAAATATCTGTTAAACCAAGTTCAGCCTAACTACAGTCTCACTGGTAGGGACATAGGAAACGTAGAAAAAGGACTTTACTGAGGAGAGATTAGTGCAGAAATGAGCAATGCAGGTTTTTTGTAAGTCCAAAACGATTTATTTGGAACAGACCATGGCTTTATGCAAATTAGTGTGTGACAATTTTGTATTACAAAGGACACTTTTTAAATGCCCAATTTGAAATTAGACGTAGCTTCATTATAAACGATAGCTGGCGTAAAAAAGAATAACTTTCATACTGAAACTATTAAGGATGTAGCTACCATGGAGTCTCACTATCACTATAAACAGAAACAGATAGGAGGGTTCGTCTCAAAAGCAAAACCTGGACGGGTGTCACAGACAATCGTTGGGGTTGGGCTAGGGGATAGAGATATTAGCTAAGATAAGATAATCCTTAAGGGCAATTATACTGGGGAAGTACACGGCATGTCATAACAATTTACAAATAATATCCAGTCCTAGCGATCTTTGCGATCAGGTGGTCATTCCACCTATATATTTTGAGACATTTAATACGATGCATTTCTATGGTTATCAGGTATCATACTCATTTACATATCTCAACATAAACTTTATGAAAGAAAGATTCGTAAGATGTTAATCAATAGATGAGGCATAGTCAACACACAAAAACACAAAATATCTTTGAGATGACCCCTTGTGCCTGTAGGGGTAGCACACGGTCCGTCGTCATACCTGGCTGAGCGACCTAATTGCCATGTATAGTCTGATATATTGTTTTCAGCAGCTATTCGTATTTTTTCTAAGTTTTGCCCGATTTTACGAGTAAACATGCTTTTCTGGATATCATTTTACGCATCCCACTGAATGCCCAGTTAGGCCGAAGTGGGTTATTTCGACATATGCTATTTGCAGTTGTGTAAATTTTAGGGATACAGAGTAACAGCCTAAAAACAGGGGTGTTTTTCTATTTCCGACTGTACTTTAGCATCTCAGAGAGACAACACAGCCCATGTATAAAGTGCATACAGATGTAGTGAACAGATGATAACATCAGAGCACCTATACACAACACATCTTGTTGTACCTGTATCTGCAGGCCATGCTGGGATCGGATTACTTCAGTCACACTGTACAACTGGTGCATGTCCAGGGGAAGCCTACACCCTGATAAGTGCCCTCAGTAGGTTATGTCTCTAGTAATTGGCCATTATTTACTCTTATGTCAAAATTTTCCTACAGCTAATCCTAGATGAGCGTCATCGGTCAAGATCTATTCAGTCTGTTATTGATTAATTTAAGAACTGGTTATTTATTGATGCACTAATTTGGAAAATTATCTTACACCTCATCATGAAGTTGCTACTGAGGATGCAGATAAGATTTCCTAAATGGAAAATTCCTTCCTGAAGTCGTCCCACGCTTGTACAATATAGTACACTGACTGCCATGCCAACAGGTGGGACCCTGTTGCAATGCCTTCCATGTGATTCACGAGGGAGCTACAATGGGTTGAGATGTTTACTCAACACTGATCTTTCAAACTGCGGCCTGAATCTGGGTGAATCTGAGGCTGTTGTTGATAAGTTGTGGACATGTAGAAATAACAACATGTTTGAGGGCAGGCAGTTGAACTTGGTGTACAAGAATTTAAAAACAAATGTGAAAAATTAACATGTGGCCCCTTTACATTTAATCAACAGAGATTATTTTTAGATGTAGGTCTAAAAAGGCATCCATGATAAAATTCTGTAAGGCATGTAACTGAACCACTAATATTCATATATCTTTGTCTTTCTTGCCTATACTAAAAAATGTTTTCCCCTTCAGGACATTTTACCATTTGGCAGAGATCCTTTTCTTTCGTTATGACTAAGTGGTTGCCAAATATTGCAATCACTGGATGCCTCACAGGATCAATATTGAGTTGTGTAATAGTCCTCAACATTCCAGTCACATGCTAAAACTTTCCATTCAAAGGCTGAGACAGTGTTTTCGCAATACAGCCATGCTGAATTGTTTTCCAGATTGTATGCACTGATTCCACTAGGTGATGGGAACGTGTGATGCAGTCCTCCTCCTCCTCATCAGGACTGGACTTCCCAATATCTGCCATGTGATCTGCACAAGTGGATGGCATGGCCAGCTGTAAACCATGTCCCCAGTTGTCCCGTGATATGTCATCCATCAGTTGTGAGAAGCCTCTTTCTGTCTGCTTGGGTCTTTGGCATGTTCAAATATAATGATAAGTCTGTGATGTCTAACAGATAATCAAACATTTCACTTTCTAGGTCTGTTTTACATGTCCCCTATATGGCTCAGGATGTCAGGTGAGGTGAAATGGGGTTGCAATTAAGATTATTTCGCTCATATGACGACATGTATCCCTGTGTATGTGTGGCTGCTTGTACTAGCCCAGACTTAAGCTGGTTTTATAGTGCTAGCTCACTGAGATAACATGTTGCAGTGAAGCATGAATACCCCACTCAGACACATTATACTGACTCCGAGGGGACCAGTCCTTGTTGTACCCATTAATGCCGAGCGCCAGGCAGGGACCAACAAGTACCATATTTTAACGTCTTTTGGTATGATGCGGTTGGGGATCGAACCCGAGCCCTTCTGCTCTCCGGGCGGACGCTCTAACCACTACACCACGGAGGGGCTCGGTTTAGGTTATGTGTGTGATTAAGTGACAACCTGCCCCTCTGTGGCAAGACAAATTGCAATGTCAGCTTTCTCTGCATGTTGAAAGTGTTCCAGTTGATCGTCTGTTAATTTCTTTGCATGGCAGAACATGAATGGCAACTGTGTCCTATTGTGTGTCTCCACAACAACCCCACAGTTAACATTCAGCCATGCAGGGCAGATACAGGTTCATTGCTTTCTTGGGGAAACATCAACAGGATGTTTACTGTTGTGCAGGTTTCTGATGAGGTGGGTGGTTTCCAGGATGTGAAATACCTGTATTACAATGAGGGTGTTTTGAGTAAAAGACACTTTGAGTCCTTTCAAAATATGTTTACTCCCTAAAATACTTTGAATTAGTGACGTACAGACTAACATGTTTGTATCATGAATTTGGTTTCAGGTTACTGCAGCTAGTTTGGTATTTTTGTGACAATGTTTCATGGCTACTGTTTACTCATCAGGACACCCCCTTTTATCCAAATCCAGGATCTGCCTTTGCACTTTTTTTATGTTAGTGAGGAATGTGTTGACACTAAGCATCAAATGATACAGTGGTCTGAGTCACAGATAACCGCTTTTTGTGATGTGCTAATTCCACTAAGTAGTGGGGAATACAACAGTTAGTCATCTTTTCATCACCCTTTTATATGACATTAGTGTCATTAAATCTCTTTACTTTGATGAAGAATATTTGCTGTTTACTAGAGAGACAACTACTTCTATGGTATGAAAATGTATGGAGTTTTGATTGGAACAGAAATAAATCTACAGGAATCTTTGCTATTGACAACTTTTGATAGTTAACAATTCTCATTCAGGGCTAACTGATGTGTCTGCCCCCGTACATTATATTACATACTCATGCTTGTCATAGCTACTATGTCCAACTATCTGGTATTACATACTCATGCTTGTCATAGCTACTATGTCCAACTATCATGTACCTAGATAGACCTCAGCTGGTACTGTAAGTATACACATTTGCACATGTACTGTAACTATTTTGATCACTGATGTATACTGAAACTGGTCTGTGATTAAGTAAGTAGAAATAGATCTGAGTCAATGATAAAGTATGGGGGTTGAGCCTCGGTGTAGTTCTCAGCATACAAACAGGACAGGGGAAATTCAGCTGTAATTCCCACTGACCTCATTATATCTCAGGCCTTTATTTGTCAGCAAGTTGAGCGCTACAAAAGCTTCCCCTATGAGTCAGTGCTATACCGGGTACTTCCTGGTAGGAGGAAATAAAAAGTTACCCTTTCTCGGACATACAAAGGTCAAAGTTGTCTAGTGCGAGAACATGCTGTGAATATACAAAAGTATGTTTTCATCCCCAAATTGTACCAGTGATAACTCAGCATCTCCTACAGGGACACCTTGGTGAACTTTTTGTTCTTTAGTGATCGATCCACAGATCGAAATCAACTAGAACAATGTAAAATATATGTAAGAAGTTGATCTTTATTTTCCTTAGTGACTTCTTATTTTTATGGATTATCAAAAAATAGTACAATTCCATAGATATGAATATATTATGTACAATTGTTAGAATGTGAAGTATTATATCTTGACACTGCCATGTAGAGGACTCAGTTTCCCGTTCAATAATTATATAGCCCTGCCCTAGAAAACATCCATTCCTTCACCCCTACTACTGACTGACTGCCTGAGTTACCCCACCACCCCTCACCCCCACTAAACTGTAGGAGACACACAATGCCGAGTATGCAAATATACATCGAGTAGAAGTATACACAAGTATGTCAAGTATTAAAGTATGAACATCTATGTCAAGTATTCAGGTATACAAATATATGCCAAATATAGAAGTATACAAATATACATCGAGTAGAAGTATACACAAGTATGTCAAGTATTCATGTATGAACATCTATGTCAAGTATTCAGGTATACAAATATGTGCCAAATATACAAGTATACAAATATACATCGAGTAGAAGTATACACAAGTATGTCATGTATGAACATCTATGTCAAGTATTCAGGTATACAAATATGTGCCAAATAGAGAAGTGTATTGAACAACACAATTAGGAGCACCATGTGTGACAAATCTCATTTCTTGCCTTGTGTAGAAGTATGTCTCAATGTTGGATATGACTTAATGCCTTCAAAATACCATATAGGTGTGGTGTCCTTTTAACAATGAGATGGAATATTTGAAGATCTATCTTAGATGTCTCTCAAATGTGAAAACCTTCTTATCTTTTCTTCTCGGACTTATTTTGGGAGCATATTTGTCATGAGGAAAGTTGAGCACACCTGGAAATTCCACCCAGGTAAATAGTGGAATAATATGGTTCAGTCAGTTGATTTGGTTCGTTCATGGTTACCCTTCCTCGTGTGGGGTTCTGGTTCTTGGGAGTGGGGCAAGCCAACCACCATTCAATGACTTGTCTGGACAAAGTATTCTCTGTACATGAATCAAGGAAATATTATATCAGATAATCAATCTGTATTATGCACTAGTCATGCATGGTGAGATTATACCATCAGATCTGTAACCTGTATTCTGCAGTGGTCATGGATGGTGAGATTATACCATCAGATCTGTAACCTGTATTCTGCAGTGGTCATGGATGGCGAGATTATACCATGAGATCAGTACCATGTATTCTGCAGTGGTCATGGATGGTGAGATTATACCAGGAGATCAGTACCATGTATTCTGCAGTGGTCATGGATGGTGAGATTATACCATGAGATCAGTACCATGTATTCTGCAGTGGTCATGGATGGTGAGATTACACTATGAAATCAGTACCATGTATTCTGCAGTGGTCATGGATGGTGAGATTATACCATGAGATCAGTACCATGTCTTCTGCAGTGGTCATGGATGGTATGTATTCTGCAGTGGTCATGGATGGTGAGATTATACCATGAGATCAGTACCATGTATTCTGCAGTGGTCATGGATGGTGAGATTATACCATGAGATCAGTACCATGTATTCTGCAGTGGTCATGGATGGTGAGATTATACCATGAAATCAGTACCATGTATTCTGCAGTGGTCATGGATGGTGAGATTATACCATGAGATCAGTACCATGTATTCTGCAGTGGTCATGGATGGTGAGATTATACCATCAGATCTGTAACCTGTATTCTGCAGTGGTCATGGATGGTGAGATTATACCATGAGATCAGTAACCATGTATTCTGCAGTGGTCATGGATGGTGAGATTATACCATGAGATCAGTACCATGTATTCTGCAGTGGTCATGGATGGTGAGATTATACCATGAGATCAGTACCATGTATTCTGCAGTGGTCATGGATGGTGAGATTATACCATGAGATCAGTACCATGTATTCTGCAGTGGTCATGGATGGTGAGATTACACTATGAAATCAGTACCATGTATTCTGCAGTGGTCATGGATGGTGAGATTATACCATGAGATCAGTACCATGTCTTCTGCAGTGGTCATGGATGGTGAGATTATACCTTCAGATCTGTAACCATGTATTCTGCAGTGGTCATGGATGGCGAGATTATACCATGAGATCAGTACCATGTCTTCTTCAGTGGTCATGGATGGTGAGATTATACCATGAGATCAGTACCATGTATTCTGCAGTGGTCATGGATGGTGAGATTATACCATGAGATCAGTACCATGTATTCTGCCTTCAGATCTGTAACCATGTATTCTGCAGTGGTCATGGATGGCGAGATTATACCATGAGATCAGTACCATGTCTTCTTCAGTGGTCATGGATGGTGAGATTATACCATGAGATCAGTACCATGTATTCTGCAGTGGTCATGGATGGTGAGATTATACCATGAGATCAGTACCATGTATTCTGCAGTGGTCATGGATGGCGAGATTATACCATGAGATCAGTACCATGTATTCTGCAGTGGTCATGGTTGGTGAGATTATACCATGAGATCAGTACCATGTATTCTGCAGTGGTCATGGATGGTGAGATTATACCTTCAGATCTGTAACCATGTATTCTGGAGTGGTCATGGATGGCGAGATTATACCTTCTGATCTGTAACCATGTATTCTGCAGTGGTCATGGATGGTGAGATTATACCATGAGATCAGTACCATGTCTTCTTCAGTGGTCATGGATGGTGAGATTATACCATGAAATCAGTACCATGTATTCTGCAGTGGTCATGGATGGTGAGATTATACCATGAGATCAGTACCATGTATTCTGCAGTGGTCATGGTTGGTGAGATTATACCATGAGATCAGTACCATGTATTCTGCAGTGGTCATGGATGGTGAGATTATACCTTCAGATCTGTAACCATGTATTCTGCAGTGGTCATGGATGGTGAGATTATACCAACACATCTGTGACCATGCACTTTCTCCACCAAGGCACCCCAAAATCATAGGAATTTTTTTATAGTCTCTCTTTCCCCAATAAGACACTCCATCCCCACAAACTTCTAAAGAAACAAAGGGGAATCTAACACGCCGGTTTATTTCCCCACAGAGTAGGGGCCTTTCTTGATACTTTTCCTATACCACTGCTACAGGCAGGTAACCTCACCCATATACTTAAGAAAAATAAAACATACTTTCTTTTTCAGATTTTATTAGACATAACAAACAATGATGATATTTATCGTGACAGATGTTCATGGATTACTGAGATCACACGCTGCTCCACAATGTTCACATGTTAGGTATATATACACTGAGCAGTAAATGCACTAATGACATGTCAAAAAAACAAAATATATAAATTGTTCAATATCAGACTTTGTAACCATGACAGGCAGACTTTATCTATTGGTTTACAGATAATCTATATATTCAAGCGAGGCCGGTAATTTCGCGCGTCCGGTAATTTTGCGCAGCTGCAATAGCGTACTTCCGTATCGAAGGTAAAATCGTCTGCTACCACATTTACCCTTGAAATCAGGACATTTCTACAAGGGACTGGCTTTTAATCACTAAAGGTAAGTAAATAACAGTAATTGACAGATAAATTGACAGTTTTGTGAAAATTAGTTTTCTTCAGACTATTAAACCTTTATCTTCATTATTCATAATTGGATTTAATATGAAACACTCTTCCTTACATTGATGAAGTGATTTTTAAAAATATCTGGCCCTAATACGCTTCCATACTTCGGATCTCCAGCTGGATGTTATGCGCATCAGTTGCTGCGCAGAATTACCAGACAGCAAGCGATGTCCTCAGAAGGCCGGTAAGGTCAACCGTATGGCATAATGCAACGCTAGAATCTTATAGTCGTCAATAAAACTTATATTTCTAGGTAAATATGATGCATACCAGCATGTTTAGTCACATAAACCACAAAAAATAAGAGACGTTAATTGCCGTGTTGCGTTCGATGTGCTTAGGTGTGCGGGATTACCGGACGGCATTGTATATACATGTATATGCTTACATGAAGTTTGAAAAGTAAGACTTTGAAGATATTTTGTTTAACTTTTCATTAAGCCCTGTTTACAAAGAGAACATAAAACAGACAGTATTTAATGGTCTCGGTTTCACATGAATTAGTAAACCATTATTTAAATGTCTCAAAGACCAATTGTACCTTGTGTACAGAGGTAAAACAGGTCATACAGTCAAAGCCAGTTGGAGATGTTACAATTCCTTGTCTCACTAGTTTTGCCTCATCAGGCCCACCAGCCTCACCAATAATCTTAACTTAATGTTCAAGGGAATTCAGAGTACAAAGTTATATAAGGTCCAGCCTGTCAACAGTAACCTGTGCATACATGACTTCTGAGGTATCCACATATGTACATCTGCAAGCACTTCTCCTAAAGTAGCATCTTCAGGGTAGTGAATGCAGGTGTTGTTAAGTGCAGGTGTTGGTAATGTGCAATAAATATAGTTCATTGTCTAGCTGCCCTCCTTTATGTTGATGATGAAGATGACTAGTACATGCACGAGATGATTGACTACAATCAATGAATTGCATAAGATTGTTAATGGCTTTAAACCGGAAATGTTCAACATGGAACGCAGCAGGTAACATTCTGTCCCAGACTGTAGCTAACTGTTATATCACTGATGAATACATGGTATCCCTATGAGGTCAGTCAGTGGATTGTCTGGACCAAACTAATTTATAATTTACAATTAGAATTGGAGTATTGCTGAGTGATGCATTAATATATGAATCTCCAGAATGATGTTCTCTTCATACAGCTATTTTGTCAATCTCAGGTGGGAGTCATTCTTCAAGAGAAGTTGTTTTGAACATTGATTTGAGTTTCACAAATTTACATACATAAATATCTATCTATTACCTTATAAACAAAAACTACAGCTGCTAACAGAACAAGTGAGGAACACTGAGCACTGCAAACAAGAATAGTTATCTGCTATAAAAAGGCATGCATTAAACCAACATTCATTAAAGTACATAAGCATTTTAGAAGAACATCTGATATGAACATCAACTTTCAATAAAGTACATGAACATTTTAGAAGAACACCTGATATGAACATCAACTTTCAATAAAGTACATGAACATTTTCAATAAAGTACATGAACATTTTAGAAGAACACCTGATATGAACATCAACTTTCAATAAAGTACATGAACATTTTAGAAGAACATCTGATATGAACATCAACTTTCAATAAAGTACATGAACATTTTAGATGAACATCTGATATGAACATCAACTTTCAATAAAGTACATGAACATTTTAGATGAACACCTGATATGAACATCAACTTTCAATAAAGTACATGAACATTTTAGATGAACACCTGATATGAACATCCAGCAGGAAGGGGAGAGCTTCACACAAGTATGTCAGAGTTATAGTAAAGATTGACTTTTGAGACCCTTGGTGAAATGTTTGGGAGATGGGGGTCAGCCAGGGAGTCTACAGGATTCCAAAGCAATACCATAGAAACCTTTAAAATGTCAAAATGTTATAATAATCAGAATCATGATTTGGGTATATAGTGGAACAATATCACTGTATGTACACCAATGGACATTCACACAAACATAGCTTACAGTATATACCCAACACTGATACATTTACACAGACAATGATACATTTACACAAGATACTGACTGACTGAGTTTGGGTTTACGCCGCTTTTAGCAATATTCCAGCAATATCACGGAGGGGGAACCAGAAATGGGCTTCACACATTGTACCCATGTGGGGAATCAAACCAAGGTCTTCAGTGTGACGAACCAACGCTTTAACCATTAGGCTACCCCACCACCCCTACACAAGATACATTTACACTGACAAAATGAGACATTTACACTGACACAATGAGACATTTACACTGATACAATGAGACATTTACAAATATACACTCATACAGTTAAATGCACATGCACACTTACATCCTATATGCACAGTGTATACCTTTCCTGCACTGTGCAGAGCTAACGCATCAACTGGTCAGGCCGAGTGACATGGTGGCAGTGACTGACCATCGCAGGATGATGATATTAGCTTTTATAGTTGGGGAGGATATAAATGCTAGTGATTGGTGGATATTCTTGTTTTAGTCCTCATAATCTTTTACTAACTGACCCTGTTTATCTCACACCTGATGGGTAAACTGTCATGTTGTTAACCTTCTGACTTACCCAAGCCGTGACCTTGACCCACACACTCCGGCACAGCGATGACTAACATAACATCACTGCCACAGTCACTAATTTGCATATCACGTGACCGGACTTTTCTCTTGTTTGTAAACAAATGCGCATATTCATAATAAGAAGAGACTGGACTCACGAAAGCTTTTCGGCGCTCTCTTCATATTGTTTTACATATATATTCTTCCACAACTGCGACAGTAAGGTCTATGACAGTACATATTTAGATATCAAACTGGCTGCATCGTTTGCTCTCCATCAGCTTCGATGACAGCACGTGGAGCCATACAACCTACGTAAACAAAGAATTGCTATGCAAATCGAAATAGTGTTACATGTTTTGGGATATTTTCTCAGTGAAACTAAACCATTCTATTAAAGATGTTTAGTTAGATGTGTAGACTCGTCAAAAGTAAAAGAGTAAAAGAAATCTGTACATTGAATGGACATTGCAAGATGTGACGAATCGTCACAATTTTCTGGCCTGTGGCAGAGGTACTATGCTGGTTTGCCGCATGGAACTCTGGGTAGGAGAGTGCTTGACCCATATTCCAACCCCCAATACCCTCAACCCTAATCTGTTATAAAGCTGTACACCCAACTCTCATACAAAATGTGGGGAAACCCAGACAACACAGTAGCTATCTATCAATACAGATTTTCAGGGCTCAAAACAGAAAACAACCGAAAACAGTATTTCTGTGAGCTACTTCTAAGCAAATGCTCACGTATATGTTTCTTATCTGCAACAACTCGGAATGTATCTTTCTCTGAAATTTTCAGCTCAATATGTCTTTTCTGACCCCTGACCGTGACAGTAGGTTGTTTGTCCAGAAATATAATGACCCGTTTGTCTTTCAACTTCTTCTTGTTGCAACGGATCTTCTTCAGTGGCAGGCTGATTTTGACTTTCAGCATGTCCTTGCCTTGATTTACAAATGAATCATGATACATCTCGCTGAGGTATCGGCGCTTCAGGTTCCTGCATTTCATTGTAATCTGTAGTTCCCGTTGCCGCTTTAAGGAGCGTTTCTTCTTGATGGTGCACTGGATTGCTGAAAGAGAGATGGTAATCATTACTACGTTTATTTATTGTTCTTCAGAGATGTTGCAATGGGCAGTGTTTGCTGGTCACTGGTTTCCCATGTGGGGAAAATAGATGTCTCTTCCTTCATTCCCTGCATCTGTATTAAGTATCTACAGCATTTGTTAACTGCGGTAAATTAGCCTATAGTCACTACGTATGAAATTTTTCCAATGGAATTAATGAATCATTACATTTAATCTTCGCCTGTATGAAACACTCAAGACGGCCATATCTCTCGGGTACTTAACGATAAGAAATATACAGGTATGTATCTCTGCAACAGGCAGTTCTACTAGGAGAATCACTTACCATATCTTTGGAAGCACTCTTTCACTTCAATGCCGTTCAGATCTTGCCATGTCCTTGGTTGGCATAAATTTTCCACTGGATGTATATTCTTTTTCCTGTGAACAATTCCATTTGACTTGCACTGTCCTTTTTGGCGAGTATACACCATTGTATCTTGACAGCATCTCTGTCTTCTGCGGCCTCGACGGGGAACAACTGTATATCCCCCACAGCATGACTGATTCTTGGGATTGTAGAGCTCCTTACCACAGCAAGAGCCGACCTGTGTGGTGTTGTAGAGCCTCCCATTACAACATGTCTGCTCCATGCTGAAGTAGGGGGAGTTTCCACAACAGTCATCTCCATGGTCTTCCATCGAGAACTGCTTATTGCCACAACACACAGAGACACCAGCATTGTAATAGGAGTCTCCACACTTCTTATGACATGGGTTGTGTGATGATTGTGTAGGGTAAGAGCTAGTCCCACAGCATCTGCAGAACACAAAGCATCCTGTACCAGAGCCAGACAATGTAGTTAAGCAGGTCATATGAAAAGCTGAGTATCAATGCACTATATGACCTTGACTTTCACAAGGGAGAATGGGTCAAAGTTAATTCCATCTCACTCAGTCAGGAGAAGCTGTGTTCAAACGTTATCACTCCTAAATTACTTGTTCAACACAGACTGCCAGATTCTCAAATTCACCATCAGAAGGTCGCAGGTTCGATCCCCAACCGTGTCATACCAAAAGACATTAAAATATGGTACTTGTTGGTCCCTGCCTGTCGCTCGGCATTAATGGGTACAACAAGGACTGGTCGGCTTGGAGTCAGTATAATGTGGGGTATTCATGCTTCACTGCGGCATGGTATGTCAGTGGGCTAGCACTATAAAACCAGCTTAATCTGGGCTAGTACAAGCAGCCGCACATACACATACACACGCATGTACCTCGTCATATGAGCGAAATATTCTAAAGCACAACGTTAAACCCAATTTCACCTCACCTCACCTCAAATTCACCAGCCCTGTGTTCTGGCTGACAATTTTGGGAGTTTCATACCCTGGTTGAAGACAATACTGAAAACCCTTACTTCCACAGTAACTAGCAGACCGAAGATGTCTCAAGTGAGTGTGTTCCTGGTTCCAAACACACACCATCAACGTCCAGCCTCAGCATCTGTCCACCCATCCACTTCCACATAACCATATCCCTTCATTACTGTCAAGTTTAATCTACTCACTCTGCTTCATTGATGGAGGTGTTGTGGACGTGACCCTGGCAGCACATCTGGCTTGTCTCACTATAGACCGTCTGCTTCTGCTCCCAGCGGCAACAACCGAGAGTGTCTCCAGGAGGGAAGTGATGGACTTGACCGTCACAGCATACAGCCTTGTTGTCATTGTATTGGTCATGGCCACAGTACCGGTCCTTACCCTTCTGTATTGTCAGGACTTCACCTTCCACACACACCTACACAGACAATCATGCTACAGTGTCCTGGTACTTCAAACTGAAGTCCATCTCACAATAACTAGGATCATATGTATCACAATAACTATACTAGTATTCCTTTGGATCATATAATTATACAACCATAGTCAGATTTAAAAACTGTCATAGGTCAGACAATGTTTCAATCTTATCTACAAAAAACAACAATTCCACCAAACATGAAGATACCAACCTTCTGCGTTCTGTTGTATGTGGTGAACCGGTTTGAGTAATAGATGAAACAGCATGCATCATGACCTTCCTTGAGCTCCACCTGTGTATTTCCACAGCATATGCTGTTTGGTGCCAGCTTGGCTCCTCCACAACAGGTGCTCCCTTTCTTCAGTACCCTTGATGGGGAACCTACAATAAAGAGGTTATCAAATATCTCCAGTTTGCATTACAACTACCAACAACTGCCATCTGAATAGATATTGTCATTTGTTTTTTTCAATAAACAAATGATTATTTGGAACTCTGGATACGGCTCTCTAATTACTTGTCATCACAGTTGAAAAAGCTTGTGTGCAGGTACTGAAAAGTTGAGAACACCTAGTACAATCGTAACAACAAATGCCACCATACAGCTAGAATATTGCTGAGTAGATGTGAATTTTCACTCCCAGTAAGTTCACACTCTCTTATTGTGACAGAGATACCAGTTCTATTACACCTGAGGCACTGACTGTGAATAGAGGGTGACAGCTTGGCAATTAAGTCATCTAGATTCTCTAAGAAACCACATGATAATGATGGTAGTGTATAAGGTGATATACCTTCACAGCAGAAGTGTGTGTCCTTCTCGTAGGGGAGTCTATCACAACATCCCTGCCTGCTTCCATCTATCTTTCGCCCCCAACAGCATTTGTCGTGGCTGCTAGACCTTGGCCTGGTGTTGCCAGCACAACATAGCTCCGTTGTGGTGTTGTAATACCCTGGAAACAATCAGCCTTGTGTTAAACATTTCACACATTCCTGGCTTATGTCTGTAGAAAGAAGAAAGTCTATTGTTTCAAAAGTAAAATATCCCATGTAACCTACCTGTCTCGGTACCCACACAACATTCCAAGTGGTCATCGAGGGGGATAACAACCTCAGCTCTGTGATCCTGGGAACAGCAGACTTCACGCTTCTTATTGTACCCAACTGTGCCACAACAACCCACCTTAGGGTTTCTTTGGGCCTGGTCTTCAGGGTTCAGGTAGGGTTCATCATAGATTTGGTCTGAAATCATAACTCGGGTAACTAAGCCCTTTTTGTTCAGGCAACCTGTTCATAAACAGAAAATCCCTCTTCCCAAGTCATTCATGTGCAAATCTTGTCCTAAGAAGATTTTAGATTGAGATGATAGGTGTAATGTTATCCTGCTATGTTTGCAAAATACCAAACTAATCCTAAACATAATGAAATATCTCTTTTCCTGTGGAGAGTATTATTCGCAGCTGGCCACAATCAAAACTGCCACCGGTCATGGGTTCAAAGTGGATCACAGATGTAGAACAATTAGGGACCGTTCATAATTTATGGCTAGGGGGAGTGACGATGATTTTTAGGAGAAGCATGTACAATGTGAATGACCCCCCCCCCAAAAAAAAAAAAATTTATGTACAAAATAAGTGACCCCCTGCATGTCAAATCAATGACGACCCACCCACCCCTTCCCTTCCCATAATTTCTAAGCATAATTTTAAACATATTTTTATGTACAAAATTGCTGAACCCCCTAGTACATGTGTACAAAATTGGGTGACCCCCCTTAAAATCATCTCTCTCTCTCTCTCTCACACACACACACACACACACACCAGCCATAAATTATGAACGGTCCCTTAAACAACAATCTATGCTACACAGACACAAACTGCTTGCCTGAAAACTATCTACAAGGCCATAGGTGGCTCTGGCCTTCTCTTGGACACATACAGTCAATGTAATTCTCACATTACATAATCATACAATTACTCAGAATGTCAAATATATTTATGGGTTAAGCAATCTTCACCATGGAAGTAGTCTCAGAGTGAGTTGGCTGCGTTAGAGACTGTTTTAAACTTTTAGTTCCCTCACTGCCTGTCACCTTATTGATGCTGACAGAGGAGGTAATTAACCTTCCACTGTAATGTGTGTAATGGCTGAAGATGATATTACGGCCGTGGAAGTATTCTCAGTGTAGCTGTCACAAGGTAACCTTTCACTGTAAGGCCACATAAAATAATTTCTTGTTTCTCATTACCGCCCTACCCTAATTTTAATTTTGATTTTTTTGCACTGGTAAATTTGCATGTATAAAGGTGGCAGACTTCCAAAATCCATCTCAGCTTCCGGCATTCCAAGTTTTCGACTAACTATTGTATAGAAAATCAGAAAAAAAACAATATTAAAAAATAAAAATAAAATCCGCCCAACCTACCCAATTGTTTTTTTAAATAGTGGTGAGAAACAAGAAATGTATTAAATGTGGCATAATGTCTGAATATGCTAAATATTACGCCTGTGGAAGTATTCTCAATGTAGCTGTTACAGTTAGCAGTTACACTGTTCCACTCACCGTCACAACATGTCTTTTCTCGGAGTGAGATGATCTTGCCATCACAGAACTCGTCCTGTTTGTTGACTGTAACAGGATGGCGTGTGTTGCCGGAGACGTTCCAGCGGCAGTTCTGCAGGGACATGTCGACCACCAGGTGACCACAGCACCCGTAGTGTTCTCCACGAACGTGTTTACTGACCTGTGCGGGGTCGTCTTCATTTTGACAACACATCTGCTGTGTGAGGTTGATATACTCCGTGCCGCAACAACCCATATCTGGAACATGGACGAAGCTCAAATACATTTCCAAAAACGATAGTTAACACAAAGGGCAATAGGGATTTCATGGAATACTACTGACGCCATGCATCACATGGACATGGACAGTTTAAAATAATTTAGCGTGAGTCAGCAAGACGGAAAGTAATTTATCTTTATCTGCCTTCCAAAAGACCCGGTTAGGTCCCATACTGCCTACATCCCAAATTACCAACAAAATTTTTTGTAGGCAGCGTGGGAAATGATTTTTTTCTCCTGTAGAATAATGGAATAGCCCAATCACCCTAGATGGCACTGTCCTCAGACATGGCTTTTCGTTGGTCACATACTCACATAACCATGATAACTGGTTTACGGATTAGAAGAATACCCTAGGAGCCAGGAGGTGTTACTGATTATCTTTCAGGATTGCATTGTAAGGCATGCTGAGTAACTTTCAACAGTTATTTAGGAGGGGCTGACAATTCTTGATCCCACGAGTCCGTGTGTTATTCTCGATATTACCCATTTTTAATTGTTCTTTCATAAGGCAGAAACATGTGGGTTCTTAACTCCCTTACTTTGATACAGGCTTATGGTAGTGTTAGTAAGATTACTTTAAGGAACGGGGCCCTGTTGACCTACTCTAAATTGTAACCTTACGTAAACTCGTCTGTGACGTTTTATACAACAGATGACGCCATCTCAATTATCTGCGCTCAAATCACATCCCGTTTCGCTAAGCATCCTCACAAACATCGAACCTAACCATTTTTGGAAGTGAAGAACATATCACGTCATATGTTCTCACAAACTTGAGTGAGTGATTGAGTTTAGTTTTACGCAGCTTTTAGTATAATTTCAGCAATATCAAGGCGGGTACATCAGAAATGGGCTTCACGCCTTAGTTGTAAGCATGTGGGGAATCGAACCCGGGTCTCCCGAGCGTGATGAGCGAACACTTTAACACTAGGCTACCCCACCGCCCCTTCAGCAATATCAAGGGGGGGACATCAGAAATGGGCTTCACACCTTAATTGTAACCATGTGGGGAATCGAACCTTGGTCTCCCGAGCGTGATGAGCGAACACTTTAACACTAGGCTACCCCACCGTCCCTATTGTATCTAAGGAAAAGAAAGAATATATTTCTTGCAATACAAGGCGTCGTTAGTTTGCGAACTTTAAACTTTTCCCAGTATGGCAGGATTCTAAAATATGAAATTTTGTAAAGGAACCGTATCCTGTAACTCACCTGGGTGTCTAAGATGGCTGTTACCGCCGCAGCAGACAGTTGTCTCCACTGGGATTGTAGATTTACTGCAGCACCCATACTCCACCCCTTTCTCGTCGAACCTGTCGTACATCGTGTCTTCACAGCACAGACTCTGGGTGTCGTAGTAGACTGTATCTACAACACAAACCAGCAGCTCCATCAGCACCACGCTACAGCACCACCGTGACAACATTGTCTTACCTGCTTGCCGCTTTGATTTGTAGTAATTAAGCAAGAAGGGAATGCAAACTTAAGTATTTATACCGTTTTCCTCAGTGATTGAATCCGGACGTACAAAAGGCATGGGGATTCCCAGTTTTGACAAACATGCTATCGAATGACGTTGCGAAAGGTAGGTCACACGTGTGTTAATTGTGCCCTTAAACCTACAATGGCCTTAAGTGCACAGCAGTGCGTACGAAACACGTATGACGTAGTCACATAAGCTCCGCCCACTCATGTTTATTTATGATTACTGTGCACTTAAGACCATTGTAGGTTTTAGGGCACAACACACGTGAGATAACTGGAGCTAATACATCCGCCTGGTGTCAGCAGGTCAAGGGTACACATGCCTTAATTACAACTAGAGCTAATACATCCGCCTGGTGTCAGCAGGTCAAGGGTACACATGCCTTAATTACAACTGGAGCGGGTGTGGATCGGATGTTTTCAACAATATGATCATGATGTTATGAACCGGGCACCACTCCCACATACGAAACTAGAGGGAAATACAGATAGGAAAAACACTCCAAACGTACTTTAGAGATAAGTTCATTGTGTAAACCTGACGCATGAGGACGATGTGATTGAGATGGTATGCCCACGCTATGTTTGACGTCAGATGCATATAATACATGCCATAAACTAAGAGATTCCTCAACTACCACAGGGTGATTAAAGCGTATCGTACTTTACAAAAGGGTACCGTATTTCCTCTGAAAAGCGCCTTCCAGACCCGGCGCTTATTACGCTTACCGAGTGTAATTAATTGTTACTGATCGTTATGTCAACGTTAACGTTGGCGACTGGGAGCTGTAAACAAGTATGTCAATGCATGATTTTCCTGAATATAAGCGTTAAGGTTTACTCAATCGAAAAACATTTTCTATCTACTTCTGGTTTCTTGAACACTAAACACTGACGCTTAACTTCAGGAAATTCATACACTGACACACTTGTTTACAACTCCCCGTCGCTGTGACTGGCGTAACGCCCACTGACAATTTTTCCTACGCATCTAGGGAGAATACATTATAGATGATGTTGCTCATTTTTTACTGCATTGTCAAAAATATGTAACTCATCGTAAGGCGATGGTGGGATCTTTGACAGCGCTTAATATTGACCTCTCCTTGACTGGATTGTTGTGTACAAGTAATATCACTCGCAATGATGTTCAGAATGTCATTCTTGCTTACATTAAAGCTTGTGGCAGCTTTACTACTTTGTAAACATGTATAAACGTAGCAAACCTTTATGATGGGCAAGGTGTAAATGGGCCCAGTTGCCCGAACACCTATCAAACTTTCAATTATCCATCCATCCATCCATTATAAAAAAACCGTACCCGGCGCTTATCTCTTAAACCGGCGCTTACTAGAGGAAGTGCGGTAGTTTCAGTCCGCTATGGCTAGGATGTGACGGCCTAACAAAAGGTAATCGCGGAGGCCATTCAGCTGGGCTGTAGGTTTGGTTGGTTTGTTGTTTAACGCTAAACTGAGCAATATTGCAGTTATATGACAGCGACATATGTAATTAATCGACGCCGCAACGAATAATCCAGTGATTGACATCGTGAGCATCGATTCCCGTATGGGACTGGGTCACGTGTAATAAAGTCACCGACCTTGATCACTCTATTAAGTCGTGTCTAACGACATGCAAAGGTTTGCTGAGAATGCTACATTCGCGCACTGATTCCGCAACACCAGTCAGTAACAGTCCATGTAAATAACAGCTGCCCTTAGGTAAGTCATACTCGATTAGGGGCAGTGGGGTAGCCTGATGGTAAAGCGTATCGCTGAAGACACGGGTTCGATTCCCCACATGGGTACAATGTGTGAAGCCCATTATCGGGTGTCCCCCGTCGTGATATTGCTGGAATATTGCTAAAAGCGGCGTAAAACCATACTCACTCACTTATACTCGATTATCGGGTGAATTAGATTTTCATTCTATAAAAATGGCACATTAGATAGACATTATCATAAAAACACTGGATAATTGAGCCTGGGGTCATGTAAACCGGTTGCATGAGAAACGACTCACACCGCCTGAGACAATATATCCCCTCGCACCTGAATCGTTTCAGTGTTGTTCACATTTGATTCAGCCAGACAGCACCTCCTACACTTCAACCCCCAGATGAGGAACCAGGAAGGAATGTTATTTTTTGAGTACCTACTTGTTGCACGCCTGCTAGTACTCACTAGTTACTCGATTATTCGACGGCTTGTACTCACTCGTTACTCGATTATTCGACGGCTTGTACTCACTCGTTACTCGATTATTCGACGGCTTGTACTCACTAGTTACTCGATTATTTGATAGCTTGTACTCACTAGTTACTCGATTATTTGATAGCTTGTACTCACTAGTTACTCGATTAATAAACTGCAAGTATACAATAGTTACTCGATCATTCGACGGCTAATACTCACTGGTTACTCCATTATTCGACTTCTATTCGATTGTTAGTGTTATTACCTCCACAGCATCTCTTTCCCGGTGTCATAATCTCCAGCCGTCCTCCACAACATAAGCGTTTGTTGCGGCTGTACAGTTTCCACTTTCCATCGACGTAACAATCACTTAATGTTTCCCCGACTGAAGCCAGCTTGTCTGAAAATGATGTGAATTATTTTATGAACTTTGTCATCTGTTTTTAGTGTTATTGCTCATATCAAAATCATGGTTATTACAATGTTTATGTAGTGGTGAAATATTGTTATGCATAATATTGCAAGTTTTGATTATAAATGACGATGGGGACGCTGAAACACATATGGTTGTGGGTTTAAGAGTAGGTAGGTGTGTGGGTAGGTAGGTAGTTTGGTAGATAGATAGGTGGGTGGGAAAGGTAGGAAGGAAGGTCGACCTTGGGCCTGAAGAGGCTTTTATGCGCCAAACATTTAACACACTGTTATAATTATGTATATTTAAATAATGTCATATTTCCCCGTTTAAATAAGAAAGTCTTGCACAGATCTCTGTGTGCAACCATACATTAAATATTGTAAATACGTGTTTGGTTTGTTGAGAACACCTTTTGTTTAGATTGTGACGTGGCATTTTATGAGCTGGACGTTCAATAAGATAGTGCTGAACCGTTTCTGGGCAATGTAAGTTACAGTATTTAAATGGAGGAGAGATGTCTTTACATAATCTACTTCTGCTAAACTGCCATCCATGCCAAACTCACGCTTACCCAAGAAATGTTATAACATGTTAATGTTAGATATGAGCCATGGTAAATGTAATTGGGCTTCAACACCGAGAACTGTGCTATTTAACATGGGATTTGGCTATGTTTGGGATCACCCGGGCATGCACTGATAATATTCAGTCGTTTTAATCAGAAGTTATGGATAGAGCTAAATGTATTCATGCATCTTTGTCACAAGGTCCTAAAACATATAATTATTCTATGTACAAGTCAAACTTATCTCCAGAGTATTATATTAAGCATGTAACTATTCGGAAATTTCGTGTCGCTTTAGCTAAGTTTAGATGTAGTTCTCACCAACTGAAACTTGAGATGGGTAGATATTCAAATGTCCCAAGAAATAAAAGATTTTGCGGTGTTTGTAAGCATATTGTTTGTATGCCAGGCTTATGTCGATTTACGTGAACAGTTTATTCCTAGGAAATACTACGTATTTCCAACATTAGCTAAATTTAATCTTTTAATGTCCAGTGATAACAATGATCTTATTAGAAAGTTGGCTATGTATGTTGAGAATTCTATGCAACTGAGAACAAATCTGTTAATGTAGGCAATATGTATTGTGGCTGCTGTATAACTGCTGTGTCATGGGCCGATGGCCTACGTCTCTTGTTGAATAAACAACATGTACATCTCACGAACATGACCAATGGTAGGTATGAGTGAGTTATCTCCCTTGCACTATTCACCCTTTACTTGACATCACGACTGCATAATTGATACATTTGGTTGTGCTGGCCACAGCTTGCCATTTTTCAAATTTTAGTCAATAATCAGAACGTCAATAAATTATAAAGCTTGGATGTATATCAAAACAAATTACAGTTTACAACGGTTATAACGAAGCCAAGAGACTTATTTTAGTTTGCTGTAATCCCACAGTTCGTTAATGGCATTTCGACTAAAATGTACACCAAAATACTAATACTAAGGTTCGCCGACGCCTATTGTGATACCAACCTTTTAAGTTAGTTTTAACAACCCGGTAAACCGAGATGACTGACTAATATCAAAGGTATTCCTAAGACCTTATGGAACTTTAAACGTTTTGTGAGGTTTCCATAAAACATCCATATTGGCGCTAGTAGACTAAAAAGGTTTAAATGTATGAATAGCATAAATTATTGAGTTCAAAACATTTATGTAAATAAACGTAACAATACAGGCTCACCAACAACACTGCAAAACAGTCACAGCTCAAATGACCATACAACCAAGCTAAAAAGCGCCCCCTGCGTGTAGTTTGCGTGTTAACACCTGTTCATCAACATACGGATGAATAGCATGTGGGACTGCAACCAGCTTCGAGGATGTTGTTCCCCTCTCACTCATGTCACTGTACCATAGTCTCACGTCAACGCCATGAAGGTATTTATAGAAACACGTCACCTTAAGGTAGGAAGTTTCCGACATTGGCATCATCAATATTATGCGTTGTGAAATAGCTGTGACACCAAATAACAAGTTATTGAATGTTGGTTTGTTTCGGAAATCCAATTGATCGCACAGCAATGGGTGAAAACTTCACGGCCATTCGGCTGACATATTTAGCTATAGCCGGCATATTATACGTGCGTTTCACTTACTTACGAATTCCCATCACTCATTCACTCACACAAGCACGCACGCACGCGCGCGCGCACACACACACACACACACATCTTTCTCTGATTGTAGCCCATAATATTTGAACTCCGAGTCTGAATCGTCATCGAATATGCCATGAATTGTCACTATAATCGTTCCCATTATTATTAATTAGAAGCACTAAATGTTGTTAACTAGACTTATTGATGCGGGGACGGACACAGAAAGATCCTACCATATCTTACACAACTTCTTTACTCTCATTCCATATGCATTATTAATACACAGTTTTGTTTAAGGATATTTAAAAGAAATAACATGGTAACTTACAAATTGTCGAAATTCTTTATAAGCAGGGCATATCAAACAATTTCTCAGAGATGCATCAACGTTTCTCTGCCTTCCTTATTCGTTATCCTTTAGACGTAAAACACCTCCCCAAAACTTGATAACAAATAGTTCCAAATTTGAAGATAGATATATCTATGGCCCAAGAAAACTCAATGTTGGTAAAACATGTTGATCAACCGCTCTTTAAACTGTGAGTAAAACATCACCGATCACCAACAGTTTGTGAAAGCCAGACAAATTCAAAAAAGTATATGACGGATCACATCAGAATCCCATGTGTGGCCACCAGAAGTATCTAGATAATATAACATAATATATGCCTTGTTCGGAATTCTCCCACCATGCCTTGTCGTTAACACAAGCCACTATTTAATAGTTCAAACGTAGGAATTTATCTTAACTGTACATAAATCATGCACATTCTTCATATACTAACCTCTGACATATACACATACATTGAATTGGCGGAATTTGGCTGTCAAATATATTTCATAATTCCCAAGTTTCGTATTAAAAGCAATGCCTCAGTGTCAAATAACTATTAAAGTGCTTTTAACAACAAATTTAACTATATGGTGTGGTATTTAAGTTTACGAAGGAAAATGGTTTTTAAAATTCGATCTTTATTGATTATATTGGTCAACGATTAAATCTGACACTCTTTATTGTAAGATAGGTAGAAAACAAAAACATTGTCTAAGTGTGCATCATATACACTTATTGACAAAAGGTTGACTTTTACATGAAATAATCGTTTCAATATATTTTAACTGCAAATTGTTTGGTCGGATTAACCCGCAGATAGAAATATTTTCTCAAAAGTGTACCAAATTCAATCAGATGAAAGTAAAATTTACTTACCAGCATTCAGTATGAGAGTGGTGATAGCTAAAAAAGTGATCGCATTCATGTCTTTTAGACAACATGAAAGTTTGAGTTGAAGTTGATCTCTTCGGTGTTTTGTGCGGAATGATTCGATTCCAGTGTAGTCCTTCTTTTTGTACATTTTGATGCCATGATTGTTACTATATTTAGAACTGGGAATTCCCTTCTTGCTGCAACACCGCCATTTGCTTTTGGTGTTGGAAGCAGTTCGCGTGATTCCCTTTGGAAAATGGACAAAACAAATGGTAGGCGTACTTTCTCAGAAACGAGTACACCATCATGTGACAAACTATAGCCAGTAATATTTACCCCAGTGCAATAACATTCGTTTTGGTTGATGCTTGCATGAATGAACATGACTTGTGATGACACAAAAGATTGATCCGGGTAGGGTGAGACAATCGTAGAAAGTCCAAAGGGGCTTATCCGAACACAACGCATCAAAACAAGTTGTTTACTTGCTACCACGTCAACAGGCAGTCACTTTTATCTCATACGTTAACTCATGTTGGCGGTATTCTAAATATAAAAACACGTAGGCTTCTCCATGCCATGCCCGGGAATTTGCCAGTCGAGGATCAGTAAAGCTTGAAATCTGCTGTTACTTTCAGTAAAACATTTGATTAACACATGTTCACTATTTATGAATCGCTAATGTTGTGAATCACATTACAGGCCGCTTGAAGCCTGTAAACACAAAAGTCCATGTGAGCTTGTCTAATGTAAATAACATACATGTAGTTTTAATGTCAGTGTTGTTTTAAGTACTCAAATTTAGTCAAAAGTGTATGTTAATGAAATGCATCATCTGAGAAGATGAAGCTGGACATTAAACACACTAGATATCATGTACATGTTTCAAGTGCTCACAAGATCCTCAAAATACCTTTATAGCTAAAACATTTCAGTCCAGATAGTTTAAATATTTGTTGATGCAGGAAATACCTATGTTCATCATACAGTATTTATAGATCATGACTCGAGAACATACTTTAGTTGTGTATTGAAGGGGATATGTTAGGTTTCATAGTTTACACTGCCATATTACGTGAAAATATACTATATTCAATGTAAAGACTTACAGCAGAGGAGATAATCATATTGGGCAAATATTGAATGACAGGAAATTTCTTAAATAATATGGTATGTCAGTATCATCAAACATCTGTCAACATCTACCTAACTGACCGTCATAATCAGCATCACTTGTTATTTCTAAATAATTACACTGTCCAGAAATACAAAGAACACATTGGATTTGATCTGTATACTGTTTCGATCTTGAATACTCTTCAGGCCAGTATCATCCCATTAGCTTGTTTTGTGCGATCATTATTGACTTGGAGATGACACGAAACAATACATGTACCTCACGATTGCCCAAATGTATTTTACGCAAACTGTAATGCCACTGGTATTAAAGATAGTATAGAAGATGAACAAAGATGCCTAGCTCGATCCAACTCTGAAACTTCCAAGAATGGTATGGGAGTTGTTGCAGCCGAGTGGTCTGTTTCTGATGATGACACAGGTTTATCCCGGAGTGGCTTCATCATGTGATTGTGAAGACAGTTCTCTGTTTTCCTTACGTAATGAGGATGGATTATTGCTGCATCTGCATCCACTGCTGCTCACTCCAAGATCACTCATGTGACAGTCTAGTACAGTGAAACCTGCACCCTGTCTAAACCGTCATTTTATTTTGGTCCCATGGGGTGCCGGTTTAGACAGGTTTCACTGTAGATACAGCTCTAGACCATTCAAACATGTAGTAGATAACCCTAAATCCTGTTACCATAGCTACATTACACATCAACAGTTTGGCTCACAGACAACAATCTGAAAGTTCGTTACCTTGATCAGACTTTGATTAATGATTCAATAAGCTCAATTATCGATTATGCCTAAATGTTGTGTTAACAGCTTACCTTTGCAACAAACACGAAGAATATGCTTCTTTTCACAGATTTCATGTAGATGTTTTCTGATGCAATTGACAGAATTGAGCAATCGCCATATTTGTTGACGTTTCCCTTAATCCTTGCAGTTACAAACTGGACGTTTGGCCATCTAAATATAGCAACATCCATTTAGGTGTGTGTTGCAAACACTGTTCACATCAGTAATCAGCTTAATCATGTTCATCTCCTTATTCTTAGACAGAAAACCTTGTAAAGCCAGTCTGTTTACAAATCTGTTGTGGTAACATTCAATTTATCATCAAAAACATTAGAAGCTCCAATTTGAAGTACAGGTGTTTACAAATTCAATGAGCCATCCTGCTAGGTGTATATATGAACGTCTTTGGGAGATACATACTCACAAGAGTGCTTTTTATTTAACGAACAGTTCAATAAATATTGTAAGTTTTGTTGTTTAAGTTAAACAGACATATATTGACTCAGTGTTGCTCTCTGATTTCTGGAAGAAATGTCAGTACTTTTCATGATTTCAGAGAACCACCTGCATGTGTCATGGTATGACAGTGCCTGGATACCACTCCTCAACCAGTCCAATGTGCTTGACTACTTCTCTGAACGAAGCAATCCATTCTATGACCGCACATGCAACAACGAGATCATCAAGATGCAGCGACTAGGTGTTGAACATCTCAGGTACATTCTTCCCAGGTTGACACTTTCAGGGTGTGGATACATGGTGTAATGACTATAGGGTTGATAACCAGACATACAATGGCCTGACATACAATATACTGACATATCATGGTGTTCTGTCCTGCTCAGTCATGGTGTTCTGTCGTACTCAGTCATGGTGTTCTGTCCTACTTAGACATGGTGTTCTGTCCTGCTCAGTCATGGTGTTCTGTCCTACTCAGTCATGGTGTTCTGTCCTACTCAGTGATGGTGTTCTGTCCTACTCATGGTGTTCTGTCCTACTCAGTCATGGTGTTCTGTCCTACTCAGTCATGGTGTTCTGTCCTGATCAGTCATGGTGTTCTGTCCTACTCAGACATGGTGTTCTGTCCTACTAAGACGACATGGTGTTCTGTCTTACTCAGTCATGGTGTTCTGTCCTACTCAGACCACCTGGTGTTCTGTCCTCAGTCATGGTGTTCTGTCCTACTCAGACAAGCTGGTGTTCTGTCCTATTCAGACAAGCTGGTGTTCTGTCCTACTCAGACATGGTGTTCTATCCTACTCAGACAACTCTGATAGAAGTTTCTCTAGTTACTCAGGGGGCGACGAGGTAGCCTAGTGGTTAAAGGGTTCGCTCATCACGCCGAAGACCCGGTTCGATTCCCTACATGGGTACAATGTGTGAAGCCCATTTCTGGTGTTCCCTGCCGTGATATTGCTGGAATATTGCTAAAAGCGGCATAAAACTAAACTCAGTCACTCACTATTTTAGGGAGGGAATCCCTGACTCGTCACAGGTCATGTGATTCAAAATGATGCCGCTCACATGTGAGAGATCGACTGAGATGTTTGACTGACTTGCAAATATTAACCTCTGGATATTTTGATGACGAAAATAGGGCGCACTTGTAGTCTTAAGTACAAAGAAGTCATTCATATAAGTTTTTCATGCACAATAATCGTTACGGGTGCGCGAAAGTGCAACAAAGGATTTCCTCCATTGCGACCAATAGCGATGCTTCATAGCGTTCGTGTATGTGAGCGCTCTGTGTCATATACTGGCGACAAGAGTACCATATTTGCGATGCGAGTACCGATCTCTAATAAAAGCAAGTCTCTAATAGACGGAGGTATGTTCATCGTGGTGCTCTTGAAATCAGCTTCACCCCCTAAATCATCTCATGTCTCAACTTTCGTAATTTACTCAGGTGCCGCCAACATTGCCTTTTTCAAAGGCTTTTCTTGTTATCTCTCTGTTGCAGTAATATGACTGGCCTGGAGTACATCCTGCTGCATGTACAGGAACCTATTCTGTATGTCATTAGAAAACAGTTCCGGCAGTCACCTACTCAAGGTCAGTACTGCTCTCAATGTTCTGGATCCTATTCTAATCTTTCTTGGCCTTGATGATTTCCTCAATTCACTTTCATCCTTCCAACACAGAATCTGTCCACCTTCCTTGTCCCACTCTTCCTCTCTGTCCTTCTTCCTTGACCCACTGAACATGTGTCCACCATCCTTGTCCCATTCTTCCTCTCTGTCGACCTTCCTTGACCTACCAAACATCTGTCCACCATCCTTGACCGATTCTTCCTCTCTGTCAACCTTCCTTGACCCACTAAACCTTTGTCCACCACCTTCCTTGGCCCACTCTTCCTCTCTGTCCTTCTTCCTTGAAAACCCAAACATCTGTCCACCATCCTTGTCCCATTCTTCCTCTCTGTCGACCTTCCTTGACCCACCAAACATCTGTCCACCATCCTTGACCCATTCTTCCTATCTGTCAACCTTCCTTGACCCACTAAACCTTTGTCCAGCACCTTCCTTGGCCCACTCTTCCTCTCTGTCCTTCTTCCTTGAAAACCCAAACATCTGTCCACCATCCTTGTCCCATTCTTCCTCTCTGTCGACCTTCCTTGACCCACCAAACATCTGTCCACCATCCTTGACCCATTCTTCCTATCTGTCAACCTTCCTTGACCCACTAAACCTTTGTCCAGCACCTTCCTTGGCCCACTCTTCCTCTCTGTCCTTCTTCCTTGACCCAACAAATATCTGTCCACCATCCTTGTCCCATTCTTCCTCTCTGTCGACCTTCCTTGAACCACTATACTTTTGTCGACCTTCCTTGGCCCACTAAATCTCTCGGTACACAAATAAACACATTAGCCCATGTGCCTTCTAGTATTACTAAATAGCTCTATGTATACACTGCCATGTTATTTGACAGTCCATGTGTTTATCTAGTGAGCCCACTTGCCATGTACTACATCATTGGAGGGATCGTGTACCAGGCTCCGGACCTTGGCTCTGTTGTCAACTCCAGATTGGTAAGTAGAGAGCTGACTTCTTCTCATTCCCCCTACTAATCTGTGCACTACAGTCAAGAAAATCACGATGCATCAACAGTAGAGGATTTGACTTATACACGAGACAGTCCCTTGTTACAGTCCCCCATATACAAGTGACTACCTCATTCTCAGGACTGCCTGACTATGAATAGGGAAATCTGCATGTCATTCAAAAACGTGTCTAAAAGTGTTATTTATGAAAATAAAGAAACAAACTTTGGTACAATCATTCATAGTTCTTCAAGTTAATGAATGACATGAATAAGAGCATAAAAAGACAAATGAAATAATAAAAATAATATGCAAAATTTGATGATTTTTAAAAGCGAAATTTCACCAGTGTCCATATTTTTCAGAAACTTATAGTTAGTATTTTCTAAAATTTCATTCATCAATCACCAACCCATGAAGATCCAGTTAGAATTGATCTTCAGTAACCCATGCTTGTCATAAGAGGTGATTAACGGGATCAGGTGGTCAGGCTCGCTGACTTGGTTGACACATGTCATTGTATCCCAATTGCGTAGAACAATGCTCATGCTGATGATCACTGGATTGTCTGGTCCAGACTCGATTATTTACAGACCACCATCACATAGCTGGAATATTGCTGAGTGCGGCGTAAAACAACAGACAAAACAAACCATCAGTCACCACAAGTTGAGTCTTCAGTGTAATGGAGAATGTTGTTCACTGGAAGTCATTGTTACCCTTGGGCCTTAGATGATAGCTAAGCCTAGTGTTTTGCATCCCTGCAGTGCTCAATAACATGATTGTTGTAATGGTGTAATGATCATAGATAGGTCTATTCTGAAAGAGATCCAGTAAAATGTATGACAAGTATGTTGTTAGTGTTTAATAGTTTGTAAAGATTTGTTGTATTGGCACTGAATGTATGTTATATTTCTTAGAAAGAAATTGTGAGGAAAGAAAAGAGCATTTTATTGGGGGGCGATGTTTGTTTGGGCAAGTTTTTCTTTTGACATATGTTACTATACTTTGAATTTTTCCTCCATTGATATCAAATGACCACTAATCAGTATTCATCACAACCAATGAATTTGGTGTTGTCTCATCAATATTTTGATGATTGATAAGCAAACTCTGGAACAGCTACCAACACAAACCCAAACAGTTCACAATTGACCGTCTGGCCGGGTCAATGACAAGACTGTAGGGTGATTGATACAACACAAACCCAAACAGTTCACAATTGACCGTCTGGCCGGGTCAATGACAAGACTGTAGGGTGATTGATACAACACAAACCCAAACAGTTCACAATTGACCGTCTGGCCGGGTCAATGACAAGACTGTAGGGTGATTGATACAACACAAACCCAAACAGTTCACAATTGACCGTCTGTCCGGGTCAATGACAAAACTGTAGGGTGATTGATACAACACAAACCCAAACAGTTCACAATTGACCGTCTGTCCGGGTCAATGACAAAACTGTAGGGTGATTGATACAACACAAACCCAAATAGTTCACAATTGACCGTCTGTCCGGGTCAATGACAAAACTGTAGGGTGATTGATACAACACAAACCCAAACAGTTCACAATTGACCGTCTGTCCGGGTCAATGACAAAACTGTAGGGTGATTGATACAACACAAACCCAAACAGTTCACAATTGACCGTCTGTCCGGGTCAATGACAAAACTGTAGGGTGATTGATACAACACAAACCCAAACAGTTCACAATTAACCGTCTGTCCGGGTCAATGACAAAACTGTAGGGTGATTGATACAACACAAACCCAAACAGTTCACAATTGACCGTCTGTCCGGGTCAATGACAAAACTATAGGGTGATTGATACAACACAAACCCAAACAGTTCACAATTGACCGTCTGTCCGGGTCAATGACAAAACTGTAGGGTGATTGATACACGGTCGTAACTAAGATCTGTGTCATCAGTAAGATGAATCAATGTTACTATAGGTTTAAGATCATTTCAGATCCTTGTGGCAGTAAAAATAAAAATGTAAGACTAGTTTTAGCTGGCTGGTTGCTGAAACCTCAGCTTGTACGAGACTTGAAACCTGTTGTTTCGTATGTTCCTCTTCTGTGATATGGTATCAGACCACACACCATCTCTGTATATTAGACAGACATCAGCTCTACAATCTTTCTGAATATTGATGTAATTTCTTATTTCTCATTTTAGCTGAATACTGTGCACAATCTACAGTCTGCATTTGAAGAAGGTAGGTATTTACATTTTCAAATGAAATTTACAGAATGTCTGACAAGCTGACCAATACTTTTAAATTTTTGTAAGAAGCAGTAGTTTAAGAAAGTAGAAGCTATAGATGACCATTTTAACAACTGAATTGTTAGTTTACTTCTTTGTCTGTACTCAAACTAAATGTTTAGCTCACAATGACCTTTTCATCCTGTATAATAGTACTTGTCTCTTCATCCTGTATCATAGTACTTGTATCTTCATCATGTGTCATAGTACTTGTCTCTTCATCATGTGTCATAGTACTTGTCTCTTCATCATGTGTCATAGTACTTGTCGGTGGGGTAGCCTAGTGGTTAAAGCGTTGGCTCGTCACGCTGAATACCCGGGTTCGATTCCCCACATGGGCACAATGTGTGAAGCCCATTCCTGGTGTCCCCCCACCGTAATATTGCTGGAATATTGCTAAAAGCGGCATATATCTAAACTCACTCACTCATCCTGTATTATAGTACTTGTCTCTTCATCATGTATCATAGTACTTGTTTCTTCATCCTGTATCATAGTACTTGTCTCTTCACCATCTGTCATATAGTACTTGTCTCTTCAACATATGTCAAAGTACTTATCTCTTCAGCATGTATCATCGTACTTGTTCAATGCTCATGCTGTTGATCACTGGATTGTCTTGTCCATACTCGATTATTTATGGACCGCCACCATATAGCTGGAATATTGCTGAGTGCTGCGTAAAACTGAACTCCTCCTTGACCCATGTACATCACTTTATACCAAGGGATGCATGTGTTGTACATATCAGTATACAGCTTCCTTTACCAAGCCACAATTGTCATCTTACGTTTCCTGTACTTAGCAGCAGCAGTCAGATTGTGATGTCTAATAAATTGATTTATTGTAATGATGTTCATTTTATTAAGCAGTATTCTGATTCTACACCTTCTATAAACATGCTTTTTTTGTGCCAGTGTGTGTATGTGTATGTCACAGTCATGCAGGGCATGACAGAATTCATTGTTGTCAGGACAGTCACTCTGAACCCACAGAAAGTGCAATATGTGTCACAGCTCACATCAGTAGTTGTGTTTTTCTGATTTTCGTTTTCACAAATCTGAATCATCAGTGATAATATTCAAGTTGATACACATGCTTGACTCACAGAAATATAAATGTGAATAATAATGTGTGACAGGGTACAGAAATAAACTCTGGAAACTAGAAATATATGAGGAAATACTAGCCACTGATTACACACAAGTGCTGGTGTATTGTCACTCTCCTCTTGTGGCATGCTACCCTGTACAACAGTATTACTGAATGTATCAGGTGACCCTGATCCCTGTACAACAGTGTTACCAAATGTATAAGGTGACCCTGATCCCAGTACAACAGTGTTACCGAATGTATAAGGTGACCCTGATCCCTGTACAACAGTGTTACCGAATGTATAAGGTGACCCTGGTCCCTGTACAACAATGTTACAGAATGTATAAGGTGACCCTGGTCCCAGTACAACAGTGTTACCGAATGTATAAGGTGACCCTGATCCCTGTACAACAGTGTTACAGAATGTATAAGGTGACCCTGATCCCTGTACAACAGTGTTACCGAATGTATAAGGTGACCCTGATCCCTGTACAACAGTGTTACCAAATGTATAAGGTGACCCTGATCCCTGTACAACAGTGTTACAGAATGTATAAGGTGACCCTGGTCCCAGTACAACAGTATTACAGAATGTATAAGGTGACCCTGGTCCCTGTACAACAGTGTTACCTCATGTATAAGGTGACACTGGTCCCAGTACAACAGTGTTACCTCATGTATAAGGTGACCCTGGTCCCTGTACAACAGTATTACAGAATGTATAAGGTGACCCTGATCCCTGTACAACAGTGTTACCGAATGTATAAGGTGACCCTGGTCCCAGTACAACAGTGTTACAGAATGTATAAGGTGACCCTGGTCCCTGTACAACAGTGCTACCGAATGTTTAAGGTGACCCTGGTCCCTGTACAACAGTGGTACAGAATGTATAAGGTGACCCTGGCCCCTGTACAACAATGTTACATAATGTATAAGGTGACCCTGGTCCCTGTACAACAGTGTTACCGAATGTATAAGGTGACCCTGATCCCTGTACAACAGTGTTACCGAATGTATAAGGTGACACTGGTCCCAGTACAACAGTGTTACCTCATGTATAAGGTGACCCTGGTCCCTGTACAACAATGTTACAGAATGTATAAGGTGACCCTGGTCCCTGTACAACAATGTTACATAATGTATAAGGTGACCCTGGTCCCTGTACAACAGTGTTACAAAATGTAAAAGGTGACCCTGGTCCCTGTACAACAATGTTACAGAATGTATAAGGTGACCCTGGTCCCAGTACAACAGTATTACAGAATGTATAAGGTGACCCTGGTCCCTGTACAACAATGTTACAGGATATATTAGGTGACACTGGTCCCTGTACAACAGTGTTACCGAATGTATAAGGCGACCCTGGTCCCTGTACAACAGTGTTACAGAATGTATTACTATTAGGTGACCCTGTTCCCTGTACAACAGCGTTACCGAATGTATAAGGTGACCCTGGTCCCAGTACAACAATATTACGGAATGTATAAGGTGACCCTGTATGACAGTGTTACGAAATGTATAAGGTGACCCTGGTCCCTGTATGACAGTGTTACGAAATATATAAGGTGACCCTGGTCCCTGTACAACAATGTTACAGAATGTATAAGGTGACCCTGGTCCCAGTACAACAATATTACGGAATGTTGAAGGTGACCCTGGTCCCTGTACAACAATGTTACGGAATGTATAAGGTGACCCTGGTCCCTGTACAACAATGTTACGGAATGTATAAGGTGACCCTGGTCCCTGTATGACAGTGTTACGAAATGTATAAGGTGACCCTGGTCCCTGTATGACAGTGTTACGAAATATATAAGGTGACCCTGGTCCCTGTACAACAGTGTTACAGAATGTATAAGGTGACACGGGTCCCTGTACAACAGTGTTACAGGATATATTAGGTGACACTGGTCCCTGTACAACAGTGTTATTAACTGTTTCTCGTTGGTGGTTCAGTGAAAACCAGACCCGTGAAGATCCGGGTAGAATAGGGCTTCAGCAACCCATGCTTGCCACAAAAGGCAACTATGCTTGTCGTAAGAGGCGACTAACGGGATCGGGTGGTCAGGCTCGCTGACTTGGTTGACACATGTCATCGGTTCCCAATTGCGCAGATCGATGCTCTTGTTGTTGATCACTGGATTGTCTGGTGTCGAGACTCGATTATTTACAGACCGCCACCATATAGCTGGAATATTGCTGAGTGCAACGTCAAACTAAACTCACTCACTCAGTGTAAACCCTGTTAGTTGCATATAAAATCAATTACTGTATACATTAAAGAATACACCTTACATCATATAGTAGGTGACAGTCAAGAATGTTGACATCAAAATGGTCCTTTTTCCAGCACAGTCCTTCTCCAAGTACAATCCTTCCAAAGGATACTGGTGGGAGTTCAAAGACAAGGAAGAGAAAGGTCAGTACACCTCATCAAGGTACATCAGTAAGTACCATCATAAGGATATACCTGTAAGTACCATCATCAAGGTACATCAGTAAGTACCATCATAAGGATATACCTGTAAGTACCATCGTCAAGGTACAGAAGTACCATCATAAGGCTATACCTGTCAGTACCATTGTCAAGGTACACAAGTAAGTACCATCATAAGGCTACATAACGCCTGTAAGTACCATCATCACCATGCAAAATGTGGATGGTTTTGTGTATGACCACAATGCCACATGTAAACATTGTTCTAGTGTATGACTGCAGTGTCACATGTTAACATTGTTTTAGTGTATGACCCCAGTACCACATGTTGACAATGTTCTAGTGTATGACCCCAGAGTCACATGTTGACAATGTTTTAGTGTATGACCCCAGAGTCACATGTTGACAATGTTCTAGTGTATGACCCCAGAGTCACATGTTGACAATGTTCTAGTGTATGACCCCAGAGTCACATGTTGACAATGTTCTAGTGTATGACCCCAGTGTCACATGTTGACAATGTTCTAGTGTATGACCCCAGAGTCACATGTTGACAATGTTCTAGTGTATGACCCCAGTACCACATGTTGACAATGTTCTAGTGTATGACCCCAGTGTCACATGTTGACAATGTTCTAGTGTATGACCCCAGTGTCACATGTTGACAATGTTCTAGTGTATGACCCCAGTGTCACATGTTGACAATGTTCTAGTGTATGACCCCAGAGTCACATGTTGACAATGTTCTAGTGTATGACCCCAGAGTCACATGTTGACAATGTTCTAGTGTATGACCCCAGAGTCACATGTTGACAATGTTCTAGTGTATGACCCCAGTGTCACATGTTGACAATGTTCTAGTGTATGACCCCAGTGTCACATGTTGACAATGTTCTAGTGTATGACCCCAGTACCACATGTTGACAATGTTCTAGTGTATGACCCCAGAGTCACATGTTGACAATGTTTTAGTGTATGACCCCAGTGCCACATGTTGACAATGTTCTAGTGTATGACCCCAGTGTCACATGTTGACAATGTTCTAGTGTATGACCCCAGTACCACATGTTGACAATGTTCTAGTGTATGACCCCAGAGTCACATGTTGACAATGTTCTAGTGTATGACCCCAGTGTCACATGTTGACAATGTTCTAGTGTATGACCCCAGTGTCACGTGTTGACAATGTTCTAGTGTACGGCACCAGTGCCACATGTTGACAATGTTCTAGTGTATGACCCCAGTGTCACGTGTTGTTGTCACGGCACCAGTGCCACATGTTGACAATGTTCTAGTGTATGACCCCAGTGTCACGTGTTGACAATGTTCTAGTGTACGGCACCAGTGCCACATGTTGACAATGTTCTAGTGTATGACCCCAGTGTCACGTGTTGACAATGTTCTAGTGTATGGCACCAGTGCCACATGTTGACAATGTTCTAGTGTATGACCCCAGTGTCACGTGTTGACAATGTTCTAGTGTATGGCACCAGTGCCACATGTTGACAATGTTCTAGTGTACAAACATGATGTCACATGATGATGATGTTGCAGACAAACCTGAAGGAAAGGAGAAGAGGAAACGGGAAGAGCCGAGTTCGCTGTTTCAGCGCCAGAGAGTGGACCTGCTGCTCGGAGAGTTGGGCAAGAAGTATCCACCACAGTTTGTGGCCCCAAGTCACCCAGAAAACAAAGGTGTAGTGCCCTCAAAAACTACATCTATGCCATGAATAAATGTCTTCAATAGTGTACTATTCTTATCATTGTTACTGTAAATGTTAAGTTCAGGTGACAATAAGTCCTTCAAACCACTGGGGATGATTTTCTAAACTCTGTGTTGCTGTGTGTTCCAGAGGAGTCTGCCAAGCCGGAGGTGAAGCAGGAGGTGAAGCAGGAGAAGGCTGAGGACAAGACTAGTTCCTCTTCCCCAGCCACTAATGCTGCCATGAAACCTCCCCCAGAGAAGAAGGCCAAAATGATGAGATGATGGCCAGTGTGGCATATTCTAGTAGACACAGTTGAGATGAAGATCAGTGTGCCTTGATCTAATGGAGACAGTTTTGGTGAAAGTCAGTATTGCTTGACCTTGTAGACACAGTTGAAATGAAGATCAGTGTGCCTTGATCTAATGGAAACAGTTTTGGTGAAAGTCAGTATTGCTTGACCTTGTAGACACAGTCAAGGTGAAGGTCAGTGTGACTCCACCTGGTGGACCAATTGAAGGTCAGCTTGGCTTTACCAAATGGAGACAGTTCAGGTGAAGGCTTGTATGACTTCACCTAGTGGATGGAGTTAAGGTGAAGGTCAGTGTGATTTGATCTCATGGACACAATAGGTTTTCCCAGTAAGTTGCTGGACTGGAGCATGGAACACATTGCAAGACCTTGATGGCAGGTGATTTGCTTCAAAGTAATGAAGCATACAGCTACTACAAGCTGAAGAAAGGAAGAGAATATGTTACCAGTGCAATAAAGATAAGGTGTTACTTCAGGGTTACTTAAAAATGAAAAGCTCCTATCTTTTTCAAAATGTTGAATAAACATTTTGGAAAATGTAGACTCAGGTTACAGGCTCTCATGTGCATGAAAATAGTTTGAAAATATCGAGGAAATGATATTTGTCTAGTTACTAGAGGGTCTGTGTTGTGTGTCTATGTTCTTGTCATTGTCATGTCATTGCTGTACATAAACTCAGGAATAAAATGTCATAAAACCTGGCTCATTGGTTGTAACAAGTTCAAAACACATGTACACAAGTTCAACACAGTTTGTGTGTAAATACAGTTTGACCAAACAGATATGACTACCTGAGGACCTCCTTCCACAAAGGGGACTCTACTTGGCAGAGTACGTCAGTACCCGTCACAGGCACGTACGCCAAGGAGAAGCGAGTGTGTCACATGGATGATCATTTGTGTCTGACAGTCTGCAATAGCAGTGATACAGCTGCATGGTTTAGAATACAGTCAGACACTGTATGTTGAACTTGGAAGCATCAAAGCTACAGTTGCCTCGAAGTTTAGTATCCGCAAATGCCTTATTTTGTTCATCATTGTTTAAGCTCTGATGTGTTGAATCAGATGATTACCAATGTCATTTTCCACTCCAAAACATGTTCATCCAGCACAAGTTAAGTGAAAAGTCGATTTTGCCTCAATGATCAATAATAAAAGTTGTGTTGGACATGTATTTAACTTTCTCTCTGTTTGTTGCATATGTTACATGTTATTCATTCATTAAGAAGAAGGGTAAATGAAGCTGAAGTTCATTTTTCAGTTTCAAAGTGTTTGCTTGTGTCTCTTCAACCCTTACAAAGTGTTTGTTCATTCATTTGTTCAGACACAGACTGCTATCCTTAAAATCTCCAAAAATGTGAAAAATACAACATTCATAGTAAATCCTTGTCTGAACCCTCAAGACGGGTTGTTTGGAAATATATGTAGTGTTTCATTGTATAAAAAACGGTAATATCTATTTTTTAAGATATTCACACTGGCAGCTGCAGTATTTCCGTGAACTCTGTTGTATCTAGTCAGCTCTTCTCCCTGGGAACAGCCTCTGTGGATGTCTGGAGGACATGTCTACAGTGCGAGGTCAATTAAGGTCAAGGTTCCTACATTCAATATGCAGATGTATGTCAAATTGGAAGACACGCACATGCCAAACATGGGTTGTAAACGGTTATGCTTAACATGAGCAATGAACTAAGTCACTAGTGCTTGAAATGCTGCAACTGCACTATATTCTTTTAGTTTGTGCTTGTAATGTTCGTACACTACACAGTCTGCTAAATATGTTGCTGGCAGACCTTTGACTGCCGTTCCTCCGTCGGATTGTAACCACGTGATCAAAACTCGATGATGATATTTGTTGATAGCAAAATGGATGTTTCTTGAAAAGCGACTTAGCATTTTTAGCCATTACTGTGCGTAATATTTCTGATCACAGAACCCATGAAGATCCGGGTTAGAATTGGTCTTCTACAACCCATGCTTGTCGTAAAAGGTGACTAACGGGATCCAAACTCGATTATTTATAGACCGCCGTCATATAACTGGAATATTGTTGAGTGAGGCGTTCAACAAGAAACAGACAACGTGATCTCAGGAATAGATTGTTTTCGCATAATATAAAAATAAATAAACATAATGACACATGCAGCTATCATATTTTTAATTAATCACGGCGATATTTCGTGATTCTATTTCAAGCGTCGAAGACCAGAGACCAAAGGTAGAGGTTACTTTCATTTTCAGTTAGCTAGAGTTAAAGCCCAAACAGGAAGTGATTTCCTGAAACTGGAATAACATGTAGCGTTTATATTTAATGCAGTTGCACACGTGAGTCTTGATTATTGGAATTGTACTATTCCAAATCGAAAGGAGAAACCACACACTGGTCCGGTGACCTATAACCATGTCACCAAAGTTGAACACCCGCTCCATTAAGACTTTTATAATTAACACAGCTGGCTTGGAATAAATTCTGATGCGATATTCCCCCGGTTGTGGTGCTAATTTGTTTCTATATGATGAACGTAATCGTTAAACACATGAAGTTAGAACAATACCCATTGATTTTAACTAGTTGGATCCTAAATATGGACCTGGGTCCCGTTCCATAAAGCAATCGTAGTGTTAAGATGATCGTAACTCCCATACTTCAGCGTAGACTTACGACAGTCGTAGCACTACGACCGCTTTGCGGAACGGGGCCCTTGGCTTATAGTCTTGCAGACCCTCAAATATCAGGTAATGCGCATGCAAGTCCATAATGTTTGGCAAGTCTGTATTACTGTAGTTTCAGGAAAACGAAGAATTTACCCTGGCTCTTTCATATTATGTTCTATTTTCTTAAGATAACTTAAAAGTTTTCTGTTCATAATTTACTAGATGTTAGTCTAGTATTATCTCAATTGCTAAATTAATCGTCTCTGTAGATTCAGCAATACTAGGCTCTATACCCAGCTGTCGAAAGTGAAAGTCGAGTAAAGTGTGTCACACATTGACCAGACACACCTACACGGGATAATACCGAGTTCCGTAATGAGGTCATTCTGCAGACTGAGGCATATAGTTAGATATAGCTCAGGTTTACGATTGAGGCGGATGCGCTATAATCACACACGCTCTTAGAGGGCAAATGTTTTCAGCCTCAATTAATCGTTCAACGTCGCGCGTCACTTCAGACGTGTATTCCCCAGAAAGCTAACGTCACTCCTCGGTATCATAGCTTCAAGACCAGTGGGTGCCCTTCAGGGGTCCGTGAGTGGGGCGCGGGCAAGTTGGTGCAAAGGATACACTTTGTTTCAAAAGTAGTATGAACACGTTTTGAATGAATATCCAAGAATACCTAATAACAGAAAAGGTACCTGTGGTTAATAAAGGCCACTAAGATGAATTTGGGATGAAATTACACATGCATCTTTCAATACATATTCATAAGATGTATACACCTACCCACAGGCCGTGATTCACAATCTGCTCGTGCATGTTCAAGCACGGTAAATAATTTGGATGTTTGCGTGCTTGTTGGGAGCTTGAAGCAAACTCTTTGTGTTGCTATGAGATGTTCATAAAAACGGCTTTGTTTAATCGTAAATAACGGTTAAGTAATGTTACCGCTTGATGTCCGCTGCCTACAAACATGGCACAAAACGAAATTGCCAGACATTTTCAAGTTCATCGAAGCACCATACCATCTCCTCTGACAGGTTATCTACGCCAGGGCAACACTCGTGACTCGGTGGGACACTCGTATTACAAGCCGCTTTCACATTTATTAAGAAATAGCTGGTATCTTCAATTGTTTTAAAGATAACTGTATTGTTGTTATTTATTGTAACCTTGGACTTTGCACTGGACGCGTGACTGTCGGATAACTCGACGATGGACTTCCGATCCGATGTTAGGAAGGCACCACACCAGTAAAACTATAGTTAATTACAGAACCGTTGAGATGGTAGGTTCAGGTCTTTTATGTGCTGGACATTGACGTAGTAGTCCCTATTCACTGATGTAATATGTAACTATTTACTTATGTTAGATGTAATTTGTAATTGAAACATACGTCTGGTAGCAGTTGCTCCAGTAACAGCAGACAATTAGACACTGCTCGGGACCGAGGAGAAATGAAGCATCTGACGCCAGTAGAAATGGTACCTTGATGGCACCAATGACGTAGAGGCTAGACTAACGCGGAGTCTTTGAAAACATTTACCTCCATGAGAAACAAAAAAGCCCTATTTCAATCAAAAAGGAGCCTCGGTGAGAAGGGAGATTCGGAGTCCAAGGAAAATCCAGACTTGCCTCATTTTGAGCATTTGTATTTCAGGTAGTGCTGGCTCATGACATGGTAGAGACCACGTGCTGGATAACGGTGTTAGAACCCACACCGAAACGTCGCTCTCACTGTAATAAAGAAGTTCATCATCTATATATTGTCATCCTTCCTTATTGATCCTGTCCAAGCAGGAAGCAACTGTACTGTAATTCCCCATGGTGCCTAGCATGGTGATCTACCTTCAGTTGTTGGCAATATAGAGCCTGTTTTTATGTTGTGTTGTCATTTATAGTTAAAATATTTTAGATTTAGTTTTAATTCTGTTTCTGTGATAATCTAGTTGTTTTACTGTCCTTTGCAGACAGGTAAGTATAATATCTGACTTTATTTATATTCATTTATATATTTACAACTTTCTTAGTCACGATATGGCTGAAATATTGCCGATGTGACTTTAAATATTAACTCACTCGCTCCTTATTGATCCAACTGCTAAATGCCTCTCAAAGAAGTTAGGATGGGTGATATTTGTACATGCTTCCTTGACCCGTCAGATTAGCTCAATGTAGGGATAAAACTGTTTCTCTCGAAGCTGTTGTGATGAATATGTATCAATCCTAATATTTACCCACTGGACGTTATGCAAAACTATGGGTTGAGAAAACATGTCCAGGAATCGATTACCAACTAACACACAACGCCTGTTGTGCCCTTAAACCTACAACAAACGCCAACGCCGGAGAGTAATCAGTCATACCCGGAACAAACTCCGTTGGTCATATAAGGCAAAATAGCCGTGAAAAGTACAAAAATGGATCACCGAAACTCAGTGATGACACAATCGCTAAGAATGTATCCTGTTCTATCGGTAACTCTCACCCGGTGTTGGTTGCCAGACAATCGAACCTTGACAACACATTCCAGACTTTTTTAAAACTAGAACTGAGATAAGCATTTTAATTACGCCAGATGTGCAGAGATTCCGCTCCTTATGAGTAAAGAGTGTCGAGTGAGTCTGGTGTTATGCTGCTTTTAGCAATATTCCAGCAACGTCACGGCGGGTTACAGCAGAAATGGGCTTCACACATTGTACTCAAGCGGATAAGAAAAGACAAACTTTAAAGAAATATGTTTGTTTTGCACAACAGTAGGGGTAGTTTTGATGCCCAAACATTTCTTTTGTTGCTGACTCAGCATCACTGACACATGACCTTCTGATGACATTCGGCTTCGACTTCAATTTACAAGCGGAAACATCGACCCAGTTGTAGTCAATATATGTACAAGAGAATGATCCGTCTCGGTAAAATAATAGGTGTGAACAAGGGCTGGGTCACTAATGACTAGTCGTAACCCAAGTTGTTCGCGAAGTGGGTAAGCATGTCCTACCGTAGTCTGTCTCACAGTCCCTGAACCACATTATTTTCCCTACTGC